GAGGCAAAAACATCCTTCTCAGATCTCCTATTCAGTAGTTCTGAGACACATCCTTGGTAGCTAATATCAGATCGCCACAGCCCCTAGACCCTGCCCCCAACGTCACAGATGAATAAAGAGAGCCCATGTGCTCATCTGTGTGCCAAGCACTGTCACCATCTGCCCCTTCTGCCCCTTCTCATACTGTCCCTTCTGCCAGCACGTGGGGCACTGGCAGGCCAGAATGGTTAGGAAGTGTCCCAGGGGCCCACGGCCGGAAGTGCAGGGCCACAGAGCTCCCACTTAAGTAGAAAGTGCAGCTTTACCAACATGGGCTCAGAGCCTGATTGTTCTCACCTTAGAAACAATTGTAGGAGTCTTAGAAGCAGAGGAGCTTGAGATGAGAAGTAGGAATGTTGCCCACCCAGAGGTGCTGACAGCAGGAGAGGAAATCAGCGGGGCCTCATACAGAAGGGGGGAGGGGAAGGAAGAACGGATGAATGTCAGAAATCTTCAGGGTTTTACCCTGGCAGGTCATTGCCATTCTCCCAGCAGCTTGCTTGGGACTGACAAGATGACCGGGGAGGGACGACTGAGGGTGCTTTATGTCTGGGGACGTTTGTAGTAGTCGTGTGCCTGTGTACTTTTCTGGTTTTTTTTGTTTGTTTGTTTGTTTGTTTTTCATTTTCTGTCTCAGTTGCTACCATGGTCTGTACTGATTGATATGATCCAAGGGAATGCATGCTCCTTGGGGCTCTTACCAATTTTTGGAATTGTAGAGGGGCCTTGAGATTCGAGGGTCTGAAAAGTATTGGTGCCAGGACAGACCATCACTGCGGTCCGAGCCACAGTCCTTTAAAGACATAGCACATGGGTTTTCAAATGGGCACCATGGCCATCGGCCACATGCGTGCCCTTGGTCGCTGGGTGCCTTCTTTGTCACATCTGCCCTGACGTGTGTGTGTGTGTGTGTGTGTGTGTGTAACAGAAGAGGAGAAGGGAGGGAAGGAGAAGGCCAGGGAAGAAATAAACTTCATGACTTTTCAATCATTTCTCTTTTTGTCTATTCTCTAGGATTCCTTTTGGTGGGGGCTGAGGGGTTGCACACATGGCAGTGTTCAGAGCTTACTCCTGGTTCTGTGCTCAGGAATTAATCCTAGCAGTGCTCAGGGGAACCATATGGGATGCCAGGGATCGAACCCAGGTCAACTGTGTATAAGGCAAACACCCTACTCTCTATGCTATCTCTCCAGCCCCTATCTAGGATTCATTTTCCATTGAATAGAGTCCTTCTCTAGATTCTATTTTTCTATTATTCTTCTCTGGGATTTATCTTCTCCTTTGCTTCCAGCCCAAGCGCCAGTTGGCACATCAGTAGATACTTGGGGGCTTGTGATGTGCTTCTCAGGGCCCCCAGGGAGAGTTGGGATTCCCCTGGGAGAGATTTCCTTCCCAGTACTCAAACTTGGCTGAAACTATTTCCAGTGACTGCCCCCACCCCCACCACATAGTCTCCAGCTCTGGACGCTCTGGGGTTGCAACAGTCAGAGACTTGAGGGGGATTCCACAAACTTGGATCTATCTGATCCCCCTCTTTCAAGCTGCGTGGCCATCCGGTAGCTTCTCTGGGCCTGTGTCGTCTTCTGGTACATAGATTTCCCATGACACCTCGCAGGACTGCAGAGACACCTGGGAATCAGCTGGCCAGCCCTGCACCTGCTCCTGCAGCAAGGCTGATAGCATCAGAGAACTCACGTGTAATAATTTCAGGGTGATTGTGGGAGACTCACAGGGATGCTGGAGCTAACATTCTTTCAACAAGATCTCTCTGATCGAGAAGCGCTGTGGGGTCTATCATTCCCTCTCCTGTCAGACACAGGAGAGCACCCCCATCTCCTGTCAGGCAGAGAGAGCACCCCTCTCCCATCAACACAGAGAAGCACCCCATCCCTGTCAGACACAGAGCAGCCCCCATCCCATAAGACACAGAGAACACTCATCTCCTGTCAGGCCCAGAGAGCACCCATTTCCATCAGACAAAGCATCCATCTCCGTCAGACAGGCATCCATCTCCATCAGACAGAGCACCCATCTCCATCAGACAGAGGGCACTCCCTGTAAGACACAGAACGCCCATTTCCATCAGACAGAGCACCCATCTCCGTCAGACAGAGCACCCATCTCCATCAGACACAGAGCACCCATCTCCATCAGACACAGAGCACCCATCTCCATCAGACACAGAGCACCCATCTCCATCAGACACAGAGCACCCATCTCCATCAGACATAGAACACCCATCTCCATCAGATACAGAGAGCGCCCATCTCCATCAGACACAGAGAGCACCCATCTCCATCAGACAGAGGGCACTCCCTGTAAGACACAGAACGCCCATTTCCATCAGACAGAGCACCCATCTCCGTCAGACAGAGCACCCATCTTTATCAGACACAGAGCACCCATCTCCATCAGACACAGAGCACCCATCTCCATCAGACATAGAACACCCATCTCCATCAGATACAGAGAGCGCCCATCTCCATCAGACACAGAGAGCACCCATCTCCATCAGACACAGAGCACCCATCTCCATCAGAGAGCACCCTTCCCTCCTGTTGGACAGAGAGTACCCATCTCCATCATGCAGACCACCCTCCCCTCCTGTCAGACACAGAGCACCTATCTCCTTCAGAGAGAGCACCCTGCTATTCCATCAGACTCCCAGAACCCCTGAGCTGTGCAGGCCAGAGGCTGAGGAAGCTGGGGTTCACAGCACAGTCTAGAACCTGACAGTCTATAACCCCCGCAAGCCCAGCTTCCATAAGGACAATAACTACAGACAGCAGTCAGGGCAGAGCCTGTCTCCTCTGAGTCCTGCCCTGATGAACCCGTGAGTTAGGCATCCTCCCTTTACACGGGACGGGGAGACTGAGTCATGGCTTAAGAAGGTTGTCAGAGACTCCTCAGGATACGGATAATGGTCCTCAAACCTAACCGTGGGGATATGACTCCACGTGCAGATGGTGCGGCCCCACGTTCATTCAGCAACCTTGCCGCAAGCCAGGGATTCCCGAGATCTCAGGAGGGTCCAGGCCAGGGCCCCAGGCTAAGAGCCCTGGCCTGATCCCCAGCACCAGAGGCCTCCCATCCCACCCCACCCACACACAATGGGCCACACCCCTGGGCAGCAGTAACTAAGACAGAGAAGGAAGGCGGGAGGAAGGGGAAAGCGACAGACAGCTCAAGTGTGGCTCTTGAACCTGCCTCTGTAGCACAATAGCACTGTCCTCCCGTTGTTCATCGATTTGCTCCAGCGGGCCCAGTAACATCTCCATTGCGAGACTTGCTGTTACTGTTTTTGGCATACCGAATACGTCACGGGGAGCTTGCCAGGCTCTGCCCTGTGGGCAGGATACTCTCGGTAGCTTGCCAGGATCTTCAAGAGGGACGGAAGAATCAAACCCGGGTCGACCACATGCAAGGCAAATGCCCTACCCACTGTGCTATCGCTCCAGCCCAACAAAATGGTATATCTCTAAATGATGATCCCCATATAGAATCTAATTGTGTAGTATGTGGTACAATTTAAATTTGCATAAGTATGTAGCACTGTAGCACTGTCTTCCTGTTATTCATCGATTTGCTCGAGCGGGCACCAGTAAAATCTTCATTGTGTTTTTGACATATCAAATGCGCCACAGGGAGCTTGCCAGGCTCTGCTGTGTGGGCAGGATACTTTTGGTAGCTTACCAGGCTCTCTGAGAGGGACGGAGGAATCAAACCTGGGTCGGCCACATGCAAGGCACACACACACCCTACCTGCTGTGCTATCGCTCCAGTCCTGCCTTTGTAATTCCAAGTTATTTTTCCCATCTCTCAGTCCTGTAAGAAGAAGAGGTGGAGTGTGTGTGTGTGTGTGTGTGTGTGTGTGTGTGTGTGTGTGTGTGTTATCTACAAAGTCGGGGTGATCAGAAGACCCATCTCAAAACTTGGTAGGATTGTAGAAAATGCCACCCAGCTCTCGAGGGCTGTGGTGGAGTCAAGGAGCCAGTGTCCCGGGTTCTACTGGCTGCGTGGCCCGGAATCATTCATTCTCCTTATGGCAGGGCTACCCAGAGATGGGTGCGAGATGCCAGGGCCACTCACAGGAAGGCCTTAGCAGATCTCACACTCACAGTCCCGCACTCCCCGGTCCCTGCTGTGCTGGGGGCTGTGTTGCAGAGCTGGATGATCCCAGCGCTCTGGTGTAACTGACCTTTAACCCTAGAGCCGGCCAAGCCCCAAGCCACTAGGGGGACAAGGAGACATCAGTGACCTCATGGTCTTGGCATGCTGCAGTCTTTAAAGGACTCTGTCCTCTAGGATTTGTGACTCAGTCCTTGGGGTCTCAAGTAGCCGTCACTCCCACCCCCCCCCCCCCCCCCAACGCTGGGAGCTCGTCAGAGGAGCAGAATGCCAGCTCCAGCCCAGACGCAGAATCTGAGGGTCTGGGCAGTGGCTGTCTCTGTCCCCCACATGAGAAGCGCCACTATAGCAGGAAAAGTAAGGAAAGGCAGCATTGTCTGGGCTCTGGTGTGAGAAGGGTTAATGTTTCATTTGGCTCCCGTCAAGGCACCGGAAACAGAAGTTTCCAGAAATTGAAACAGAGGAACGGATGGGCCAGGAAGGCTCCCTTCCTGCCTACGTCCTGAGCAATGGGGAGCTGATTGGGACCTGCACTGGGCCCTGAGCTTCGGGCCTGCAGGGCAGAGGGCGTCAGCCCCCAGAGGCAGGCCAGGACCCTCTGTTCCGGCCCCCTGGCCTGAGGCTACTGGGGAAACCAGCTAACTCAGCTGTCCTGCAAGGAAAGTGCCGAAAGGCGGGTGGGTGAGCCCTGGGACTACTGGGAGGGCCTCTGGGGTTTCCCCTGTGGTGCTGGCCCCTCCCAGTGTTCCCCCAGGTCCCTGAGGAGAGGGCAGGGCCAGTGCCCAGGCCCAGAGCCCTGAAGTGACTGTGTTTGTCTGTCCCCGCCCCCTCAGTGCTGGAGCAGTTGCTTCCTGAGCTTACTGGCTTGCTTAGTCTCCTGGACCACGAGTACCTCAGTGACAGCGCCCTGGAGAAGAAGATGGCCGTGGCCTCCATCCTGCAGAACCTCCAGCCCCTCCCAGGTCTGCCCAGCGCCCCTCAGGACCCTCCATCAGCAGTACACATCAGAGCCTGAGAGCGTGGGACGCTCACCCCTTCTCAGGGTCTGGCCAGTGTCCCCAACCCTTCCTGGCCCTCCTCATCCTTGGCCTGTGGGACCCTCACACCCAGCCCTCTATCACATCGACCTAATGGGGTACACACTGTCCCCCATGCTCCTGCCTCTGTTCCTATCTCAGGACCTCCCCAGCCAGGCCACGGGCTGACGTCCGTGCTCTGGGCAAGCTGCCCGTGGCCTTCGGTGTTGGTGCAAGTCACCTCTGGGCATCGGCGCCCAGCCAGACCAAGATGGTGTCGAAGCTGCCTGCTCGGCCCGCAGGTCCTGGAGGCCTGTCCCCCGCCACTCCTAGAGCAGCCCTGGCTTCCATGTTGGCGGGGAGACTCTTGCAGTCATTTCACTGGGCAGAGGTGAACCCAGTATCAGTGTCAGCACCTCAGGAAGGGCCCTACTTTGCAAAGTGAGTGCTGAGGCCAGGATGGGCTGGGGCCCGGCCACCCCCTAAGCTCCTGTACCTTTTGCTCCTTCACAGCAAAGGAAGTCTCCTACCTGTACGTGAACACGGCAGACCTCCACTCAGGGCCTAGCTTCGTGGAGTCACTCTTTGAAGAATTTGGTGAGTGGGTTCCCCCCAACGCGCCCCCGCTGTGCACCCCTCTCCCCGGGCTGGGGTCCAGCGCCCCTGGCCTTAGCCCAGCTCTGACTTCGCAGCACTAAGGCCCTTTGGGCAAGACCCTGAGTGTGCCTGGAGTCACCGCCATCTGCCTACAGGCTGAGGCAATGAGGGATGGACAGAGGGGTCTCAGTGGGCCGGCCCACAGCTGCTCTCATCCACGTCCAGGGCTGTCCAACCGCTGCAGCCCTGGAGGCCAGTGGTGGCCCGCAGGAGTTGGGACGATTCTACCACAGGCGTCTCCATGTACCCCTGACAACAGCCAAAGTGGCCGCTCCCTCACCTCAGCCTCTCCTCACCCCGACACGGCCATAGCGGCCAGTGTGGGGCCACACGGCTGGAGCCGAGCCCAGTCCCTTGCTCCCTCCTCGTTGATGGAGGTGGCAGCTTCTGAGGAGGTCTTCCCACTCTGCACACCCATCAGACTGTGACCTGAGTGACCTTCGGGACATGCCGGAGGATGAGGGGGAGCCCGGGAAAGGAGTCGGCCCTGAGCCAGCCAAGAGCCCGCCCTTGAGAGCCGTGAGTCCTGCCCTGGGTTTCCAGCCCCTCACCCTTACCCCATCCCTCCACAGAGGGCAAGAGAGGCTCTGGCATGAAGTCTGGGGGGCTCTGAGGGCTCTCGCTTTCCTGGTGGCAGTTTAGGGCCGTGAGAGTCACATTCCAGCACCCCGGACATGTGCCCTGTGTTCATGCCTAGCAACCACCTCAGGGAAAAACCCCTGCTATTGAGGATGGGGGAAAGGGGTTAGGGAGACTAACCCCAGCATCAGGGATTGGGGGTTAACATCAGCACCAGGGATGGGCTAACCTCAGCACCAGGGATGGGGGGCTAACCTTGGCACTAGGGATGAGGGCTCACCTCAGCACCAGAGACGGGGGCTAACCTCAGCACCAGGAATGGGTGCTAACCTCAGCACCAGGGATTGGGGGGCAGGGGGGGGTAACCTCAGCACCTCAGCACCAGGGATGAGGAAATGGGGTGAGTGGGGGGGTTGCTCTGCCCTCCCTATTGTAGAGCGTCAGACAAATCACTCTTGCCTGAGCCTGATTCTTTTCACCTACAAACTGACACCTGGCATCCGGCCCTCAGGTTTCCAGCCTTGGTCCTTGGAACAGGGCAGAGCCATAGTCACATCAAGCCTGTCCCCTTGACTGTGTGGTTCACCAGCCCCAGCACCATCCTTGGTCCCGAGTGTTGCCACTTGCCATGTTCTTTAGCGCTCACAGCCGTAGAGTGAGGTGGGTGCTCTTGGTGTCCAGTTTCGTGATAAGAAAACTGAGGCTCAGGGCTGGAGAGATGGTACAGCAGGTCAGTGCCTGCTTAGCATGTGGCTGATCTCGGCTGAATGCTGGCACCACATAGCGTTCCCCAAGGCCCTCCAGGAGTGATCCCTGAGCACAGAGGCAGGAGGAAGCCCTGAGCACTGCTCGGTGTGGGCCTAAGAGGAGGGAGGGAGGGAGCGAGGGAGGGAGGGAGGGAAAAAGAGGGAGGAGGAGGAGGGGAGGAGGGAGGGAAGAAGGCAGGCAGTCAGGCTGAGGTTCAGAGAGCATTGGTGGAGCACAGGGTACAGGACAGCACAGACCTTGTATGCGACCCACTCCCACTAGACCCCAGCACCCCAAGGGTCACTGAGTGAGCCCTGGAGGCCCTTGAACACCATCACGGTGACCTGGGTCCCCCCTGCACCCAGGCCCTCGCAGCACCTTAGCCTTGGGTCTTCATATGAAGCCACCAGCTGAGAGCCAAGAATTTCCAGGATAATAATTATTATTAATATTTATTATTATTATTATCTTGGTGAGACCCTTCAGCCTGATCTCCGGGTTTCCCAGCCCTGCCCTTGCCTGGTCCCTCAAAGTTTAGGCCCCATGTCTGTCTCCTGCCTGTCCTCCTGCCTCCCGCTCCTCTCTGTGAAGGCCTCTGGGTCTCCCACGTCGCTGTGTCCCCCACAGGCAGTGGACCTGCCCCCGCCGCTCCCCAACAGGCCCCCGCCTGAGGACTACTACGAGGAGGCTCTTCCCCTGGGTCCTGGCAAGGCCCCTGAGTACATCAGCTCCCACAGTAAGTTCTGGTCCCCTGGGGGCTGGGGGACTGAGTGGAGGGGACCAGGGCGGGGGAAGAGGAGCTTTTCCCTGAAGGTCTAGCCTGGGATGCCCCCCGCCCCCCCCCCCCCCCCCGCCACACTCCCCTCTGAGGTTACTGAACTTCTCTAGCATGGCCTGTGAAGGTGATGAACATGGTCCTGGGGGCCAAGCCTGGGTCCAGTCCCAGTTATCTGTAGCCTGGGTCCCCTCTTGCTTTGTCCCCCCTTGACTTAGAAAGAAGGACCAGGCACGTAAAGGTGCTCGGCAAGGCCGCATGGACTCACTCACACACTCCTGGCCAAGGGGCTGGCCTCGGTGCTGTCTCCACTGTCCCCTCCTGCAGCAGAGTTGGTTATAAAGCCACAGGCTGACATGAAAGGCACACAATAAAATAGGTCTGCTGTGCTGATCCCAAAAGAGGCTGAGGGCCACACGTTTCCACAGAGCCCAGACACCTTGCACCTGCATCCATGTAACAGTGATGTAGGGTATGCCAGCAACTCTCACCAGCATTTTCCTGTGAGAAGTGAAGAAATATCAGAATGAAGGGGAGGCAGTTTCCTATTCATGCTCTTCTGGTCGGATTGTGCTTCTCACGCTGGGCACCTACTTTCTTGTAGCAAAATTGCACAGGAAGTGATGGTTGTTTGTGAGTTCAAAGTGTAGGGGTAAAAAAATAAATAAAAATAAAAAATAAGGGGCTGGAGCAATAGCACAGCGGGTAGGGCGTTTGCCTTGCACGCGGCCAACCCGGGTTTGATTCCCAGCATCCCATATAGTCCCCTGAGCACCGCCAGGGGTAATTCCTGAGCACAGAGCCAGGAGTAATCCCTGTGCATTGCTGGGTGTGACCCAAAAAGCAAAAAAAATTAAAAAATGTAGGGGTGCCCGACGCGAGCATTCGGTATCCAAGAGATGGCAACCACATACTGTTGTTCAGAATCGCCCCTTTAATGCAGAGCTGCTAGCATACTTATAGAACATCTGAGGGGTTAGAGGTACAGGACTGCATGTGGGTGTCATTGATTATTTACAGAGGTAAAGTGTTTTGGCAGAGGCAGTTCGTTTCCTTGGGCAGATTAACTCAAGGAGACACTCTGTCTCCCAGAGACATCTATATTGCTTTTCTCTTTCCCTTTTGTTGTACATATTAAACAATTAAGCTTACTTCTTATTAATACTTGCAGTTATTTGGATAAACACAGTAAGAGATATAGATTCCAAAACTTAGTTCTCTGGGTCCTCAGGGCGAGAAAGACTTTTACCATAAATCCCAGACTTGGCCCTCAAGCTGGTTCAGCTTGTCCTTCCCCATTGGGGTCCTGTCTTTTAAGTCACAACAGCTTGCATCAAAACTATGCTTTTATGCATAGTTTAAAGACTAAAGACTAAAGTCTAAAAAGACTGTCCCATTTGGATGCTGAGGTAGCTTCACTGCTTGCCCTGGGTCCCAAATATTAGAAGCATAGTATTAATGGTCTTCCTATGTTTAAGCAAAGAACATTGCTCTATAGTAAAATATGAAAAACAAGTAATTCACTTAAAAAATTCAGAATCACCAGAAATTTTGACTTATAAGTAACCAAGACTGATTTAGGGAATTGTAACAATGAGAGGTAAAACACAAAGGAAAGGTTAAAGATAAACTCGGGATTAGGGACCCTGGAAAGAACACTCTTAAGTTTCTCTGGGGAGTGGGAAGGAAAAGGGGCAATTCATTGAAGAAGCCTAAAACACTTAGGGTTAATATCCAGCAGTTGTTCAGGGACCCACAGCGTGGCATGTGCTGGTGCCATGCCCCCTCCCAACCCCTCAGCTCCCAGCCCTCAGAGCTCCCACCTGAAGCCTCCCCACTCCCACACACTCTCCCACACACAGCCACAAGCTTCTTACTGTGTAGTTCCCCTGTCTGGATCTTTCCTGCCAATGGAATCATGTTGTCAAGATTCATCCATGATCTTGATGAATCGGTCCTTTCGTTTTGTGTGTGGTGCTGGGGGTTGAACCCAGGGCCTCACCCATGCAGAACACATGCCTTACCACTGAGCTATGTCCCCAGCCCTGCGTCAGGACTCTCATAAAGACCAGAAAACATGCCATGGTGTGGCTAGCCCACACTTTCTTTTGACCCATTTGCCAATGAATGGATATCTGACTATTTCCCACCTAGTGGCCTCTGTGACCCAAATTTGGCTGGGTCCGGAGGACACTGTGCCTCTTTGACCCTGACAGTCATAGGGTCCATGTAGCAAGTGACATTATCCACTCAAGGACTTGGAGGTGGTGAGGGCAGGGCTGGATCTCGGGCTCAACCCACTGCTGCATGAGGTTCCTCCCCCTCCACAAAGCATCCCCAGGACAGTGGGGATCCCGGGGCAGAAGGGAAGGGAAGGGAGGGACACAGGAAGGGGCAGGCTCTGGCCAGGGCGGAGGCGCCAGGATCCCCCACAGGATCTGATGCTGTAAGAGCCAAGCACATTCCCCCCGCCCCCATGCTTCCCACCCACCCCCACCTTTCTGCCCTGAAGCCCCCAGTCCATTTAAGGGGTGTCAGTGACATGTGACAGAGGGCCTGGGCAGAGCAAGCTGAGTGTCACAAGGCAGAATGCTGGGTGTCCCCCACACACATACACCCTACCCCCTGGCTCAGTCCTGTCGTGCTCCGGAAACAGATGGCAGGGCCGGGAGCCCAAATTAAGTTTTGCAGGACCGTGCAGGGTGGGAGCAAGTGGAAGTGGGTGAAAGACTTCCCAGAGATGGGCCACACGCCTGTCCCTGGGGCAGGGAGCTCCGTGCCCAGCCAGGCTCCCTTCCTAGCACACCCTGCGAGGGCTGGGTTTCCTCGTCTGTCAGGTGTCAGGCGGGGCTGATGCCAACCTCCCTGTGTGGGGAAATGGAAAGTTGGCAGTGGGGATGGGCACTTGCCGAGCACCTCCTGGCTGTCAGGCTCCAAGAGTGAACCCATATCATATCACTGATTTGAGGAGGGATTGTGGTCCTGTCACTCCAAGCAGTGCAGTGTGAAAAGCAGTGACTGTTCTTCCAAGCTGGCTGGAGAGGTGACAGAGAGATGGATTCACACTCAAGTCCCAAAGCCTCCTCCACCCACCAGAATTCAGAACTGAGCTGGTGTAAAAGGACAGTCACTGTTCCGATTCCTCGGAATCAGTTTCATTTCTCTCTTCTCGCCGCTGTTTATGATGGTCCACCTAAATAGGTTCCAGTTTAAGTGAAGTTCCTGGGCCCTGCCCAAAACTGTGAATTGACTCTTTGGGGATACAACCCAAGAATCTGCATTTTATACGATCGCCCTGTTATGCTGGTACAGAAGAAACTGAGACCCACCCCCCACACACACACCCTGTGTTGTACAACCTCCGATGAGAATGTATCGTGAAAATGAGCATCAGCACTGTGGTCTGCAGCCTGGGCCACAATCTGATTGTGATTGGGTCTGCCTCTAGAGAGTACAGGGGACACAGTCCTGTTTCCCTTATGGCCGTCCTCATCAGGGCAGGTGGGTCGGACACCACGGGCCCAGGGCTAGCTATGGAGCACTCGGTATCCCACACGGCCTCGTGTGGAGCACACTCTGAGGCCAGGCCTATGATGTTTGCACAGCAATAAAAGGATGGATTTTTCCCATCATGTCTACAGCCTTAGGTGATGCAGGCAGAGTTCTTTGGGTATTTGCTGGTATATTGAAAGGAAGCGTATACAGCAGTATCAAGTACCAGTACTAAGTACCCTGCAGTACCAAGACTAGGTCAATGACACACACCCCCTACATAAACCCCCCCCCCCATATGTACCTCAGGCTGGAGGTCATTGAGGAGGGGCTGGCCACTCTGGGTCTTGAGGGATGAATAGGAGTTCTCTGGCAGAAGACAAGAATGGATCGGAGTAGCACAGGCATGGTATGGAGGTGCCATGGAGCCCACAGGGGCATTTCCTGGTGATGGGAACACAGTGGGGAGTACTAGAGGGTCAGAGAAGGGCCAGGTGTTGGGGTCTTCCCCACCCAGTGCCCTGGAGTCGACCTGCATTTTGCCGAAGGGCAGTTCCTCTGCCAACCCCACAGATGGCTGCAGCCCTGCGCACTCCATCACAGACGGCTACTACGAAGACGCCGACAGCAGCTACCCTGCCACCAGGATGAACGGGGAGCTAAAAACCTCCTGTGAGTAGAGGACATGCAGACCGACGCTTCTGTGCGCCCGGGCTTGATCCTGTGCATTTGGGTGCCCACCCCCTCGCCCTCGGGGTTGCCATGGAGCCCCCATGGAGCCCCCATGGAGCCTGTGTATCTGGTGGTCGTAGGGCTGGATGAACTCCTGGAGACAGACGCAAGGGTCTCTCTGGGCTCCGCTTTGCTACTGTGTGAAAGGGGGTATGCGGGGCACTGTGAGAATCACCCACCTCTGGGTGCCAAGTGGTGTGCCAGGCTCGAGGCTTAACGAGCCCGGCACACACAGCTTCACAGCCCGCACTCACGCTCACCACAGCCTGAGTAGCAGGTGGCGTTATTCCCGTGGCCTTTCACTGGTGGGGACGGAGAGAAGCAAAGCCGCCAACAACCCCCAGCCAGCGGTCAGCTGCCAGGACCCTGAGCGCAGGGTTGATGCCCACCCCAGGAGCGACCCCATGAGAGGGTGGGTAACTACTTCCCCAGGATGGCACTGATGGTCCTTTCCTCACAGACAATGACTCTGACGCCATGAGCAGCTCCTATGAGTCGTATGAGGAAGAGGAGGAAGAAGGGAAGGGGCCACCTCCCCTGCACCAGTGGCCCTCCGAGGAGTCCTCCATGCACCTGGTGAGGGACAGCAGGATATGCGCCTTCCTGCTACGGAAAAAGCGCTTTGGACAGTGGGCCAAGCAGCTGACCGTCATCAAGGAAGACCAGCTCCTGGTGAGTGGCACGGGCGCGCCCCTCGGCAGCACAGGGATTAGTACTGCTGGTGTGTGTGATGGGGGGAGGTGTGTGTGTGATCTGTGTGTGATCTGTGTGTGTGTGTGTGTGTGTGTGTGTGTGTGTGTGCAGGTCACCCGCCTCTGTGTGCAAGTGTGTCTGCCTTCCTCTCTGTGGGCTTGGCTTATGCACCAAGGCTACAAGCCAAGGCTGCAAGGGACCAGAGCTCTCCCACTCTGCTAGAAATATCTAAAAATAACTTGAAGACCTGATAGAGACTTTACCAAGTTTTTTGTTTTGTTATTGCCAGAGACACCTTTTAAAATTTTTTTTAATCATTTTGTTTTTGCCAGAGACACCTTTAAAAAATAAGTTATAGGGCCAAAGAACATGGCTTAAAGGACTGGAGTGCACAGTTTGCATGGGGGAGCCCCGAGTTCCATCCCCAGCACCCCACATGTTGCCCCTCATCCCCCACCCCTCTGTGTACCACCAAGGGTGACACCCTTGTTCTATGCTGGGAACAGTCTCTGGACACTACTGCCAGATGTGGCCCCATGCCAAAAATTAGATAAACAACAGAGAAAAATAAATAAATATGGGACCAGGGAGATAGTATAGAGGTTAGGTTAGGGATGGATTCCTGACTCCACATGACTTCCCAAGCGTGGGCAGGTGTGACCCTGAAGCCCACCAGGCACTGCTGTTCTTGCCCTGTGGTCAGCTCTGCATCCTTGGGCCCTGTCTGAACCACTGGCCCTGGTCGGCAAGGGATGACCCACATCACAAGCGGTGGCACCAGCCGCAGAGCACCACATGGGAGGCTACAAAATAATAATAATACTAAAATATAAAATAAGGTTTAAATCAGAAAGATCTTGAAGGGCTGGAGCATGTTCCTGGCATGTGGAATGCCCCCAGTTCAATCCTGGCACCACAGTCCCTGGTTTTCACCAGGACGGTCTCTGAGCCACCAAGCACTGGGGATCCCCCCCCCCATGCCCTCCAACACAATAAGACTTACTGGTTTTCATGGCATAGGCAAGTACGTTCATTTGTGGGTTATAGGAGAACAGAGTGAGAAAGTATGTTCTAAAACCACCCCAGGGTTAACCAGTATTTCCATCCTGGTTTTCATACATGTTTTTCCTAAAAACTGCCCATGCAGTATTCTGTATTATTTGGGAGTGGGGTGGGGGTGCCATACTTAAAAGTACTCGAGGTTACTCCCAAGTCTGTTCTTTGGGATCACTCCTGGAGGTGCTCAGGGGACCGTGCAATGCTGGGGGTCAAGTCAAGGTCAGCACTGTAATACTTGTCATTATATCCTGTCTTTAAGTATTTTTTAAATTCCTCATTATTTCTTAAAAGAAAATGTAATCTTAGTTCCAGAAAGGAAATTTTCAGGAATAAAGAAAAAGAGGGGCTGGAGCGATAGCACGGCAGGTAGGACGTTTGTCTTAGACGCGGCCAACCCAGGTTCGATTCCCAGCATCCCATATGGTCCCCCAAGCACCGCTGGGAGTAATTCCTGAGTGCAGAGCCAGGAGTAACCCCTGAGCATCGCTGGGTGTGACCCAAAAAGAAAAAAAAATAAAAGAGTCCTTTACCTAAAAGCTCCTGGATTTGCGCTGACCAACACGTATCACTGGATGAGGCCTCTTGTACTCCAGGGACTGACCAGGTTGGAACTGGCTTCCTCAAGTCTTGGCTTTTCCTGTCTGAGTGCTCTGGCCAGAGTCTCTACATCGAGTCAGTGGAGCGATGAGAGCAGGAGCCCTTGTGCAGAACTCTGGGAGGGTTGCAGTTACTTGTCAACAGGCTGAGGTTTGCCACGGGTTATTGTAGAGGCTCCTTATTTATTAGCACCTTGAAGAGAGTTCTTTTATTTTCCAAGTTGCTGAGAACCAACAGTAAACTAATTGTGAATTTTATCAAATACTTTTTCTGCTTCTACTGAGACACGTGCTTTTTCTCCTTTTTCCTAGTCAGATGAATTATGTGTCTAGTTTTTGAAGACTCACCTGCTCTCCTGTTCCTGGGACCCATTCTTCTTGGTCCTGATGCAGTGTCCTTTTTATATGTGTCTATACTTGATTTGCAAATATTTTGCTTCAACTTGTGAAGCACTTTTGATAGGCGAGGTTGGCCAGGGAGCTCTCCAGTGGGAGGCCCCGAGATCCATCCCAGCACCACACACACCCTGAACATGCCACAATGGTGGGGCAAGCCCCATTAAAAAAAAAAAAAGAGGGGAGCTGATACTTCCCCCTTTTCATAAAATAATTGTCAGAGTCCCGTGTCAAGGTCCTGCTGACCTCCTACTAAGAACCGAGCAAAGAAAATCATTGCATATAAGTGACTGATTTCCTGAACCTACTAGGATTTCATCTCCCATTTTCCTGCCTCGCAGCCTCTGGCCAGGGGCTGGCTGTCTCCCAAAGGCTGCCGGATTCTTCTCTGGCTCTGCTCCAAGGCTCTTTGAGTTTTGTGTGAGAAGTGCGCTCTCAGGCCACTCTCTTGCTCAGTGGCGCCCCCTGGAGTCCCTAATTGTCCTTGAGTCCTGAAGGCTGCCCAGGGAGGCTGGTGCCTGTCAGCCAGGCTTCCCTGGGAGTGAGTGACCACAGCTCCCGTCCTCATGCCCTGCTCACTACTGAGCAGGGGCCGAGAGGCCTCGGGAGGAATGCGTAGGCCAGTTCCCTGGCTTCTCTTCCTTCTGCTCCAGGCCACGCTGACTCCTTTCCCACCCGCCCCTTCCAGTGTTATAAAAGTTCCAAGGACCGGCAGCCGCACCTCCGGCTGGCTCTGGAGACCTGCAGTGTCGTCTACGTGCCCAAGGACAGCCGCCACAAGAGACACGAGCTGCGTTTCTCCCAGGGTGCCACCGAGGTGTTGGTGCTGGCGCTGCAGAGCCGGGAGCAGGCGAAGGAGTGGTTGAAGGTAAGGGGGTCTGAGCCCACCTGGCCCCTGCTCTGGAAGGATAGGCCTTGGTCCGGGCCTGTGTGTGGCCGTGGGGCTGAGCATCTGCATCAGACAGACCTCAGGCTGGAGGTCTCTGTTCCTTCTCTCATCTGAAGCCCCTCTTCCAATGGCCCTGCTGTGGATGGGTCCTCCTCCCATGGCGAGTTATCAGATGCGCCAAGCAAGCCGGGTCTGCCACTGTTTGAAACTCGGATCCTTCTAATCACGGAAAACCCCCACCCTGCCTTTGGCGAAAAGGCAAAAATCCACCTGGATCCGTCTGCTGTGTCTTGGAACCACGCAGAGGAGGGGTCCACGTCTCCGCGTGCTGAGCACCAGCCTTGGGTCATGCAGGGTGCTGAGAGCTTATTGATGTGACCTCATTTATTCCTCCCCACTAGCAGAACTGTTATTTTACAAAGTGGGGAAACGGAGGCACCCACTGGGCACTCACGTGACTTTCCAGAGGTTGCATTGAGGATGAGAAGTGAAAAAGGATTTCTCCGACAGCGCTGACTGGGGCTCTGTGATGAGTCTCAGGGCAGGCAGATGTGTCTGGGCCCCAGCCTCAGCAGCAGGGCGGCTGCATGAAGTCCTCGTAGGGATCCTGGGCACCGCACGAGCCCATGGCTGCCTTATTCCTACCCTCCTGCCGGCCTGCATCCCTGCGCCCCCGTGGGTGTCCCTCTAGCCCATGCCTCTGTCCTGACTTTCCTGCTGGAACAAAGAGCCCCTCCTCCCTTCCTTCCTGAGATAACCAGCTCTCCCGCTGCAGGGCCCAGCGTTTCCCAAACTGCCTTTGTCTGGGAGGGGAAGGAAACCCGACCACCTGCTGGGGGCGCCTCTGCCCCCCAGGGCTGCGGCAAAAGGAGGGGTCCTGGACCCGGCCTCAATGTCCGGTCCTGGGCAGCCTCAGCCAGCAGCTTAAGGGCTGGAAACTGGGTCCTCACCTCTCCCAGCCTCACACGAGTCTGTCCCTGGGTGGTGACGTTGGCTGCGACCCCCGGGGCTGTGCTGGGACACAGTGAGCTCCTGTGGGCCTGCAGCCACCAGCCGCCACGCTTCCTTTTGGCCCAGCTGCCTGTTGGCCCCAAATGACCTGGTGCTGCAGAATGTTGTGAGGGTCCAACCCACCCATGAAGCGTTCCCGTGCACACAGGCCACTGTGTCCAGTTCACATCCATCTTCTCATGCGTCCTTCCACCCCCGGAGAGAGAAGCCAAGGACCAGCATCCATCGCAGCTTGGGGAAACCCAGACGGGAGCAGGGAAAGGACTTTGCCAGGGCCACGTAGCTAAGAAGCACCAGTGCCGGTTCTAGGAGTCCGGTCTCTCTGTTCCCAGCCCCCGTCTTTACCATCCCAAGGACAAGTGTGACAGGAGGCCGTGCCGCCTCCTCTCTTCTGCCTGGTGGCCACACGGCCCCTGGCTGTGCCCACCTCCTGCTCATAGCTGTGTACTCTCACACACAGGCCATCCGGGAGGTGAGCAAGTCTGCAGGGGGAGCAGAAGGGTTGGAGGTGCCCACATCCCCGGCCCTCCAGTGCAAGCTGGACCTGGACAAGGTAGGTCTGTCTTTAGCGGGGCTCCTCAGGGCAGGCACGGGCCGCTCAGCATAGGGTCTGTCCCCGGGCATTCCCAGAACGGATGGGACGGCCCGCACAGAGCTGTGGGGCTCAGGAAATATCTGCAAAATGAAAACCTACATATATGCTGAGCAGGCAGAGGTGGGTGTGGCTGACCCCTCCCACCTCCATCCCCTCCCCCACCCGCTGTCTTTGAATGGGCCGTGAACAGGGCATGGGAATAGACCAGCCAGGAAAGGAGGGAGCCCAGCCTGGAGTTGTCATCATTCAGTGGTTGTCAGCCATTGACAAACACCAGCTAGTGCCTGTGCATTGTGGAGGATGTGCACTGTGGGCCCCAGCCCCCTGTTCCTTTTATGGGAGTTCTATGACCCAAAGAGTGTGATTTCACAAGTGAAGAGTATGACTGTGTAACCAGCAATGCTGTAAACACTTTACTCCTATTACCTAATTCCTCAGCAACTTTTTGGTGAAATGCTGTTTCCAGCTGAGGCTGCGGGCACAGAGACTGACCCAAGGGCACACCATTAGTGGAAACAACTAAGGCGGCCACCCCAAGGTCTCCCCTTGGGACCCCAACCTCCAGAGGTCATCCTGAGCCCCACTCATACGCTGGGACTAGAGAGAAAGCAGGGGAAGCCTTCCAGGCAGAGGGCATGGGTCCTGGCACCAGAGGAGGCCTGGCCTGGGCAGGGCCATGTAAGCACTCAGAGGAAGGGGCTGATCTGAGTGATCCTGAGAGGCCACCATGACAGGCACCTGTGTTGGTGAGAGGCTGGAGAGACAAGGGTTTTAGAGAAGAATGGCCCCCATGTTGAATCATAGGAATGAGATTCCAGAGATGCAGAGGTGGGCCAAGGGAAAGGGCCACAAGGAGAAGAGCCTGTGAGGGAAGGGAGGAGTGGGCACAGGACACAGGTGTAGGGCAGCATGCGTGTTTGTATGCCTGTGTGTCCATGTGTGCATGTATTCGTATACATATGCATGTGTGTAGGTGCCATGAGCATACATGCATGTATGTGTACACACGCATGTTTGCCATTGCATGCTTGCATATATGCTTGTGTGTACACGTGTGACACTATGCATGCATATATGCATATGTGCACATGTATGTATGCATGTGTGCCACCATGTGCATGCACACATGTATGCCTGTATACAGGTGGAAGGTATCATGTACATGCACATCATGTGTGCGTGCATGTGTGCCTGTGTGCACATGCATGTGTGTCATGTGCACGCATGTGTGTGCATGCATGCATATATGCATGTGTGTACACACGTATGCACATCATCGTGCGCACATATATGTGCACATATACACGTGCATGTGTCAGCATGTGTGTGCATGTATGTATACACACATGTTGCACACATGTGTGCATGCGTACCTCTGCAGGCGTATTCCATGGTGCAGCAGCTGGAAGAGTGTGCAGAGGAGAAGAGGCAAGCTGTGGAGTGGGGAGCTTCCACGGGGGGCTGAGTGATGCTTGTGCAGCCAAGTGGGGGAGCAGGTGACATGTCAGAGGTCTTGTTTCTGGGGAATCCTGCGGTCCAAGCATCGTCTCTCAAAATCAGAGCTCTCTGGATTTCATTCCACTTGCTTCCTGATACAGACATGCACCAAATAGACTGTAACTTATGTTTCATGTGCTCACGGGTGCTGCTCCATCTGATAGTTCTGGCCCATTTCTTACAGCTGCCATTTGTCACAACGCACACAACCTCTCCAGTCTCCAAATCCCAATACTCTCCCTCCAGCCCACAGCCCTGAGCCTGGCAGGGTGGGAAAAGTCTGTGATCTCAGAACTCTGTAACCCCCTCTTATTTAAGTCACTGGGTATTTGCCGTTCATTTCCCCCTTGCCTCTCCCCATCCTGTGTTTTGTGCTGTGATGCCTGGGGCTGTCCTGGCTGTAGGATTGTGTTGTTCACACACACTGCTGTGATGCTTACCAAGGTTTGTGCTCCCTTAGCTGTGGTGCTCACAAATGTGCTTGCTAGGACTCACTCCAGGGTTTTTTATTGTTTTTGTTTTGTTTTGTTTTGTTTCGTTTTGTTTTTTTTTTTTTTTGTGAGATGGAGGACAACACCCAGTGATGTGTGATGCTCAAGGGTTACTCCTGGCTCTGCATTCAGGAATTACTCCAGGCAGTGCGAGGGAATCATATGCGATGCCGGGAATCAAACCCTGGTCAGTTGGTGAAAAGCAAGTGCTCTCCCCACTGCCTATCACTCCGACTAGCCCTGGGGCTCACACTCTTTGTTTTGTTTTTTTGTTTGTTTGTTTGTTTTTGTTTTTGTTTTTTTGCTTTTTGGGTCACACCCAGCCAAAGCTCAGGGGTTCCTCCTGGCTCTGCACTCAGGAATCACTCCTGGCGGTGCTTGGGGGGTACCATATGGGATGCTGGGAATCGAACCCGGGTGGGCTGCGTGCAAGGCAAATACCCTACCCACTGTACTATTGCTCCAGCCCTGGGGCTCACACTCTTAATGGTGACACACCTCATGGTAGTGGTGCTCACCAGGGGTCACTGCAGCGCTCACACATGCGCTCTAGTCAGAGAGTCATACTTCCTGACTGTGATGCTCACACATTGTTTTAGTGGCAGTGCTCACTCTTGTGATGCTTACACACACCTGAGTGTGGTGGGGCCAGGAATTGCCTCTGGCACCAGGAGCACAGACAGTAGAGCTGCCAGGCTCAAATAGCAGTGTAGATCCCGTGCAGCACATGTGGGACACCAGGGATTTGAACTTGTCACTGTATGTTCAAAAGGAAGTTGCTCTTCAGTCACTGCACTATTCCCCGGCCTGTCATTCCCCCTCACTGAGTTGGTGGCTGTCTTCTCAATCCTGTCCTGAGTCTGGCCACACACAGCTTAAAGTGAAATCATCACCCAGCACAGGGTGAGAAATAGTACAAGTGTTTGACCTCAAAACTTGATCTTGATGCCGCTAAAAAGGGATGTAATTCAGGTGGGGAAAAAAAAACAGCCTTGGAGAGAAGAATTCTCCCTCACTTCCCATTTCCACAATTAATAGCTGATTCTAAATAACCTCTTCCAAGATTCTTCTGAAGATCTTCCACCTCCCGTAGTACTAGCATGTACCTGGCCTTGTGTGAGTGAATGAAGGAATGATAGTGAGTGAAAACAATGGTGCCTGGAAGTACCAGAGAGAGTGAAAGAGTGAGAGAGAGAGAGAGAGAGAGAGAGAGAGAGAGAGAGAGAGAGAGAGAGAGAGAGAAAGAAAGAAAGAAAGAAAGAAAGAAAGAGTTTGCTGCTGTCCTCTCATCCAAGATGGGATCATAATGGACTCCTCTCACAACTCACATTAATTGATCATCAATTCCTGCCATAAGTATTTTCAAACTATCTGCAAGCTCATCTCTCTTCTTCTTGCACACTGTCACCTCAGTTTGTCTCCATAGCAAAAGTCACTTTGCAGATGATGACATTGTCTGTTCTTTTCTTTATCTTTTTTGTGTGTGTGGGAGGAGGAGACTGTCACACCTGGCAATGCTCAGGGGTCACTCTTGGCTCTGCACTCAGGAATTACTGTTGGCAGTGCTTTGGGGTACCATATGGGGTGCTGGGAATTTCTGTTTGCCACAGATTATTTTTCACCTTCTGGTTTATTTTGCTGGACGTGATGTCCTCCAGTTCTATTCAAGTTGCATAAAATTGCGCAATTTCGTATTTTACAACTTCATAGTATATAACATTGTGTCTGCATACCATTTTTATATACTACTTTACCCATTTATCTATCATTAGACATGGGTTATTTCCCTATCCTAACTATTGCGAGAAGTGCTGCAATGAAAATAGTTGTGTGTATATATATATTTTCAAAAATAATGTTTCGTGTATATGTGTTAGAGGGGTAGATGTCAAGAAGTGGAATTTTTTGGATCATATGGAAGCTCTATTATATTGGAGAGGGGGAGAAATTTCCATAGAGGCTGAACCAGATAACATTTCCAGCTATGAAGTTTCCTTTTTCACCACACTCCGCCACACTGGTTGTTCCCAGCCTTTTGATAATGCCCTTATCACTGGTGCCATTTTGATCTGCATTCCCATAAGTGACGATGAACACTCTTTTCTAGGCCTACGGGCTATCCGTTGTCCTCTTCCAGAAAGTTTCTTCTCCCATATTTTGATGGAGTTATTTGGGCATTTTTGCTCTTGAACTTAATGAATGCTTTACATATGTTGACTATTTACCTGATGTATAATACAATACACAACTATTTTCTTCTCTTCAGTAGGGTGTCTTTTCATTCTAGCCTAGTTTCTTTTGCCATCCAAGACCATTTTAGTTTGACATAGTTCCATTTTTTTTCTACTTTTGTCATCTTCGCCAATACAGTTTGAATCATTGACAACTCCTTTGATTCCCATATTATCCTGGTGAGTTCTGCCTATCTTATTTTCCCCAGTGTATTTTATGGATTCTGGCCTAATATCAAGGCCTGTAATCCAGTTTGAATTAACTTTGTGTGTGGTGTGAGATATGAATCCAATTTCAAGTTTTTGCATGTTGCTAACCAGCTTTCCCAGCATCCTTTGTTGAAGAGGATTTCCTTCCTCCACCTCATGCACCCAGCTTCTGTGAGGATGACATTCTCTTTGCTGACAGCCTCGTCTGTCTGGTGATGCATCCTCAACGCACTGAAGGCAGCCTCCTGAGCCCACTGCATTACATTGATGCCCCTCTTAACTCAGGCCCTCAGTCCCTGTCCCCTGCTCAATATGGACCATACATTCATCTCAGCCCATTATGAGTCCCTCATTCCTTGTTCAGGAAACAGACTGTGAAGCCCCATCTCTCGCAGGCCCTAGTTATGCACCCACAGCTGGTAGAATTCCAGGCATAAGATACTTGTTAGCACATCCCCTGAAGATCAAACCAATCAGGGAGGGCTTCTTTGTTGGGGAACAGTTTTTACTCAATGTGCCCAGACACGTTGCACACTGGGTCTGGGCAGACGTGAGGCAAAGGATGATGGGGATGCAGAGAAACCACTTCAGGAGACTGCTGATGGCCACTCACTTTATTGCCAAATCACGATCACGATCGTCCTGTTGTTCGTCGATTGCCTCAAGCAGGCACCAGTAATGTCTCCTTCTTCCTAGCCCTGAGATTTTAAAAGAGCCATATTCAATGCTCTTTCAGGGCTAGGAGAATGAGACCTATCATTGTTACTGGTATCTGGCATATTGAGTACGACACGGGAAGTTTGCCAGACTCTGCCGTGCGGGCAGGATACTTTCGGTAGCCTGCCAAGTTCTCCAAAGGAAAAACAAGATAATAAGATGTCGCGCAGCCGCGAGTGTATTTGCCAAATACACAAGGTATTTGGTGGTCTCAGCTTAAGAGGATGGTCCAATCACATAAAGTTTAGCGTTACTGACCTATCACCTTTCCAACTCTGTTTTGCCGTAGCCCAATCCCAATTAGAGCCAGATAGGAATGCAGTTAGGTGACAATTCTTGGGGGATGAGACTCAACACGGGATACCCGGTGCTTGTAAAATGTGCCCAGACACTCCCTACTGGGTCCCCATGAAGGGACAGGTCTTATCTACTCTGCAGGGACAGATCTCATCTGCTCTGGCGCCTGTTGCCATGCTCCACACTACTTCTCCACCCTCTCACCAGGGCTGTGTGTTTCCCCCACAGAGGCTGTCCCAAGAGAAGCAGACCTCAGACTCCGACAGCCTGGGAATGGGTGACAGCTGTTCCACTCTTGGCCGTGAACATGGTAGGAACTGAAGGGGCTCAAGAGGAATAATAGTGTAGCTGTGGGGGTGATGGGTGTGGGTCTGGGCACAGGCTAGCAGGGCCAGCCCAGCACTCTGGGCCAGGCATGGCATGTGATAGATAGCACTGGAAGGAAGGCAGGGGCAGCTGGACCTGGGACTCAGAGCCCCTCCTTCCTCTCCCTGACAGGCAAAGGGAAGAAGAGCAGCCTGGCAGAGCTGAAGGGCTCCATGAGCAGGGCTGCAGGCCGCAAGATCACCCGCATCATCAGCTTCTCCAAGAAGAAGGGTCTGGCTGATGACCTGCAAACGTCTTCCACCGATGACGAGGTTCCCTGCTGCGGTGGGTGTGGGCATGGGCAGAACTCAGATCCCACAGAGGCTAAGCTAGGAGACCCTTAAGGCTGCAGCTCCCACCTCGTGGCCAGGGCAGAGAGTCCTGGGCTAGTGAAATAGTTCCACTGTCCCAACAAGTAACTTTCTGACTTCTTCCTCGAACCCCTGACAATGAGCACAATGAAAAGCTAGTGAAGCCCCTATTTCTGTATCTGCACCCTGGTCACCCCGCCTCTGGGCCCCAGAGACTCTGATTAGGGGAGTGTCTTACTCTGTGTGTAATACAGGGAAATTTCTGGGAGAAAAAAATTGAAATACTTTTCTTTTTGTTTTTTCCTTCCTTTTTAAAATTTTTTTGACTTTTTGGATCACACCCAGTGATGCTCAGGATTTACTCCTGGCTCTGCACTCAGTAATTACTTCTGGCGGCGCTCTGGGGACCATATGGGATACGGGGATCAAACCTGTGTTGGCCGCATGCAGGGCAAGTGTCCTACCCGCTGTAATATCACTCTGGGCTCTGAAATACTTTTCAGTGCAAATATACCCAGTGTCAGTTAAACATGGTTTGGAAAGTAAAACTTGTTATTCTTGTTCATGGAAATGCAATGTTCCACTAAAATTCAGTCTAGAACAATATTCTACCAATCCTTTAAAAATGGTATAGCAGCTAATATTTTGTAACCAGTGACTGGATATATGATCTGGTCAACATTGCACTTAAATCTGCAATGTGAAGAGAAGATCCCAGCCCAGTGCTTTGTTTGCCCTTTCCTTAATTCTTGACCACAGTAACATGGGTTTGTTCCCACGAGCAGCCACCAGGGGTCAGCAGCACCCGTTAGTTACAGCTTGCATAAAATTGCTGACATTTGAGTTGTGACCTCGTTCATTCATTCTCTCTAGTGGCTCCTGCCTTTTGCATCCAGCTTAGATGCTCTAGAAGGTCATGCCACCTGTAGAACTGTGACTGTTGGTCCAGTTGCACAGGCAGAAAGCCAGCCCCAAGCGAGAGAGACCGGGTCTTCCGAGAGTCTCCTTCCCCCCTAGAGGACAAGGACTGTGTCCCGGGAATAGACCCACAAACTGGCCTTGCAGCTCCCTGTATTGCTCCACAGACTGAACTGAAGGACTCTATGCCCATCGGCTCCCTTCCCAGTGTTAAACAGTAGAATCCAGCTGAGTTGACCTTAGGTCTAATTGATGTTCAGTGATTCTTGAATTGGGCAGCATTCTGTCAAACCAGTAGATAATACCCAAACGCCATACACGGCGTAAGTAAGCACGAGGCCTGGGCTCAGGTGTAGAACACTTGCCTTGCACGGGAGGTCTTGGTTGGCTCCCCAGCACAACAAGAACGACACTCAGAGGCGCTGGGTGGGCGTCCCCGTTTGAGGCTGCCCTTTTTGTGAACCTAGGCTACTTGAACGTGCTGGTGAACCACAGCTGGAAGGAACGCTGGTGCCGTCTGAAGTGCAACACCATGTATTTCCACAAGGACCGCACCGACCTGCGGACCCACGTGAACACCATTGCCCTCCGTGGCTGTGAGGTGGCGCCAGGCTTTGGGCCCAGACACCCATTTGCCTTCCGGATCCTGCGTAACCGGCAGGAGGTTGCTATCCTGGAGGTGAGAAGAGAGGGTGGCTCCTGGTGGTGGAAGTTTTGAGAGGGGCTTACTGGGTGCTAGATGCTGGACCTTGCATGGGCATGACAGGAAGTGAGGGGGAAAAGCAGGAAGCCCCAGCTGGGCCAAGTGCCAAGCAATATTGCCAATTAAAGTACAAGATGCCAACATAGCCATGGATTTCAGGTAAATAACAGAGTGTCTTCTTCTTCTTCTTCTTCCTCTTCCTCTTCCTCTTCTTCCTCTTCTTCCTCTTCTTCTTCCTCCTCTTCCTCCTCTTCTTCCTCCTCTTCTTCCTCTTCTTCTTCCTCTTCCTCCTCTTCCTCTTCTTCCTCTTCTTCCCTTCCTCTTCCTCTTTTTCCTCTTCTTCCTGTTCTTCCTCTTCTTCTTCTTCCTCTTCCTCTTCTTCCTCCTCCTCCTCCTCCTTCTTTCTTCTTCCTTCTTCTTCTTCTTCTTCTTCTTCTGCTTCTGCTTCTGCTTCTGCTTCTGCTTCTGCTTCTTCTTCTTCTTCTTCTTCTTCTTCTGCTTCTTCTTCTTCTTCTTCTTCTTCTTCTTCTTCTTCTTCTGCTGCTGCTGCTGCTGCTGCTGCTGCTGCTGCTGCTGCTGCTGCCACATCCAGCAATGCACAGGGGTTATTCCTGGCTCTGCACTCAGAAATTACTCCTGGTGGTGCTCGGGGGACCATATGGGATGCTGGGAATCGACCATGTGCGAGGCAAACGCCCTACCCGCTGTGCTATCACTCCAGCCCCAACAGGGTGTCTTTTATGTGAGCTTCTTCTCCCGTTGGAACAAGCCTATACTGAAAAATAACCTGTGTGGTGTTTTTCTGAAATTCAACAGAGAATTCTGATTTTTTTTCTTTCTATATATGGTAACCCTAGAACTAAGGTTTATTCTCCCTGATGGAGGTCCTGACCCTGATGGTCCTGTGCAATTCTGGGATCCTTTCTCAAACCACGGCCTGGATGGATAAGTCTCTGCCCTGCACTTGCCCCCCTCCCCTCCCCCAGCACGCAGATACTTAGCACAGTTGTCCCTGTGCTAAGGCGTCCCTGAGCATGGCAAAGGTCACTTCTTAGCACTTCTTCAACTCTTCCTCCTTTTTTTTTCTTGACTCACAGAGATCACCCCGTATGCAGGTGAGATCTTCAACTTTGAGAAGGCAGTGGACATGGCCATGATCCAGACTTTTAGGTTTCTGGGATCCAATATGATATCAGGCACATACTGAGGGCCCAGTAAATGCTTGTTGAGCAAATGGTCAAATGCAAATAAGATGACATCTCACATCCATGCTGCCGTGCCCTGAGCAGCAGCCCACCCCCACCCCAGGCCATGCAGAGCACGCTGACCTTCTCTTCCCCATGTCAATCCATTTACTATTTAATTGAACTTGAAATGTCATCACTGGAGGAATACAGCACAGAAAAGGAAACGGAAGCCAGGGCAGCCAAGTGCTTTGCCCGAGGCTCCCACCATCTGTGGCCTCTTAGTCACATTCTAGAAGCAAAACTCTCAGTTCTTAAATGTCAAGAACTCGCGTCTCTGTGACTCACTTTGATTTCTCATTGTTCAAGATGGCTTGCTCCAGTTATATATACAGAACTCTCTGGCAAAAAGCATACTCCCTTTATTCAAATTTAGCAACTGCGGGGCTGGAGTGATAGTCCAGCGGGTAGGATATTTGCTTTGCACGCGCTGACCTGGGTTTGGTTCCCAGCATCCCATATGGTCCCCTGAGCACCGCCAGGAGGAATTCCTGAGTGCAGAGCCAGGAGTAACCCCTGAGCATCACCAGGTGTGACCCAAAAAGAAAAAAAAATTAGCAACTGCATGTTGATTTTATAGTAATGCTGTTTGAATGAGGACTTACCTAGATACCCGTTAACTAGAAAGTTCTTGGAGATTTCACTGTACATTGTACTATGAAATAATTGCCAATTATTATAAAACATAAAATGATTAGGAAATAGTCATCTCGACTATAAATAAATAAATGCTAATAAAAAACTCCAGGTCTGCCCACATGATTTCATATCCAAATGGCCAGGCAGGCTCTCTGATGCAAGTAAGCCAGCCTGTGTATCTTTAGAGAGGTAGTCAGGGAGGGCCTCCTACAGGGGGTGGCATTTGAGCAGAGACCTGAAGAGAGAGAAAGAGGAATGGATGTATGTTCTAGCTTCTAACTTAGGGCAGGTGGCCAGAGGCGCTGATGGTGCCAATGATGTGAATCTGGCTTGTGCTTCCTCTCCCTCAGGCGAGCTGCTCTGAGGACATGGGCCGCTGGCTGGGGCTGCTGCTGGTGGAGATGGACTCCAAAGTCACGCCCGAGGCCCTGCACTACGACTACGTGGATGTGGAGACCCTGACCAGTATCGTCAGCGCAGGGCGAAACTCTTTCCTGTAAGAGTTGCACCCTGCAGGGGCTGGAGCGATAGCACAGCAGGAAGGGCGTTTGCCTTGCACGCGGACGACCCGGGTTCGATTCTCAGCATCCCATTTGGTCGCCTGAGCACCACAGGAGTGATTCCTGAGTGCATGAGCCAGGAATAACCCCTGAGCATCGCCAGGTGTGACCCAGAAAGAAAAAAAAAAAGAGTTGCACCCTGCAGCCCACAGTGTGGAAGACCAGCCCTGGCACGGGTCCCTCCGGGGGCTCTGAGTCCAGGCCTGAAGCCGGGTGGCATAGGAGGAAGGGCTGGGCAAAACTCTGTCCTCAAGGGAAGGCCAAGGGGAGCCCAGAGACAGGGGCCGTGTGACTGAGTGGAGAACCCACTCTACCCGGTGGCCTGGCTGTACTTTCATGCCACTAAATCTTCATTTCTTCATCCCTTGGGCATCCTCTTGGTACATGGGTTTGGCATTTGAAGAGTCAGGCTCTAGTTCATAGACCATGGTTGAACTATGATCCTGACCAAGATGTTGTTCAGTCATGGTTAGATCATGACCAATGTACTTTTCAGCTTGGATCCTGTTTTCTTAAGGAAGTAAGAGTGAGTGAGGGCAATAGATTTCCTGCATCCTGGGATGTTGGAGGCCCTGCCTATGCAGCCCTTCAGACAGCAAGGGCCAGATGCTGCCCAGTGAGCCAGCTGTTATTAGCTTCCACCCCCATATCAACTCTGGGCTGAAGTTGGCCAGGATGGGACTGTGATATGTGGGATGTCGTCATGGTTACCATCATCACTGTGGTCATCACCAATCCCTTGCTTTCTAGATATGCAAGATCCTGCCAGGATCAGTGGCCTGAGCCCCGCGTCTATGATGATGTTCCTTATGAGAAGATGCAGGTATGATCCCTTGTGGCTGCGAGAGCATGGCACAGGGAGCTTCTTAGCACTCCCTCCAACTCTTCCTCCGTTTTTTTCCTTAACTCACAGAGATCACTTCCACTTTTGTAGCAGCTAGAAAGGGGCTGAGGTACCTCACCAACGAAGGCCCAGGACAAGTTCTCCAGTCATGGGGGTGGGGGGGGTGGAGGAGGAGGTGGCCTGATCTTCTCGTGGCCTCAGAGCCAGGTGAAGACAGGGAGTTGGGCTGCTGAGGAAGTAGACACAGCTGTCAGACACACCCTGCCATGGGCAGTGGCACATGACACTATGTTCTCATCTAGGACTCTTTGCTAGAAAGTTCTCCGACCATCCTTCTGTGTTCACGCTCCATCTCCAGACTCAGATGAGCCAGGTTCTTCTGCAGACTCAGATGAACCAATGTTGAGAAACATAATGGTATTTTTCTTTGTAAACTTCAGAGTGTAGTAAAGACAGCCTTGTACTTGGGGACATGAACAGCAGACTCAGAGCAGCGTCCAGGTTATCTCTGTCGTCAGGGCTCTTTCCTCACCCCTGGTTCTGCACAGAGATGAGGAAGCCTGACAGCACCGCTGCACGGACTCTATCAAATCCTTCATGGCAGGACATCGCACAGCACCTGGGAGGCCCTACACAGAGGCCTGGGCAGGACTGTTGTTGTTGACAGTATCATCATATGTTACCGAATTGGTACTCCACTCAAGGTCTTCTGAGCTTTGATGGGATTTTGAGTTCTTAGAAACACACCATGTACAAATGTGCAGTTGGCTGTATCTCTGCTACTGCTGGTTTATCTCCTCTCTGACTGTGTGTGTGTGTGTGTGTGTGTGTGTGTGTGTGTGTGTGCTCGTGTGTATTTGTATGTGTGTTCCCAGGGATTGACCCAGAGCTCACACACATGTGAGCATATGCACTGTCATTGAACTTTATCCATGTTCAAAGATTTCTTTCCTTTTTCTTTTCCCAAGTTTTTCTATATTTTCTCCCTTTCCTTTCCTTTATTGTTTTTTTTGTTTGTTTTTTTGCTTTTTGGGTGGAGTGATAGCACAGTGGTAGGGCATTTGCCTTGCACACAGCCAGCCCAGCCGAGCTGAGTTCAATTCCTCCACCCCACTCAGAGAGCCTGGTAAGCTACTGAGACTATCTCTCCCGCACAGCAAAGCCTGGCAAGCTACCCGTGACATATTCGATATGCCAAACACAGTAACAACAAGTCTCAAAATGGAGACTTTACTGGGCCCGCTTGAGCAAATCGATGAACAACGGGAGGACAGTGCTTGCTTTTTGGGTCACACCTGGCAATGCACAGGGATTACTCCTGGCTCTGCACTCAGGAGTTACTCCTGGCAGTGCTCAGGGGACCATATGGCATATGGGATGCTGGGGATCGAACCAGGGTCGGCCGCATGCAAGGCAAACGCCCTACCTGATGTGCTATCTCTCCAGCCCCCTCCTTTATTGTTTCTACAGTGACTGGGGGATACACACTTTCCAGTGGTAGTAGGGATTCCAAATGGCAGTGCCACTGAAATAACAATTGACAGTGGGACAGGCCACTGCTGAGTGACACCTGTCCCCAACTTAGACCCTCGTGGCTCATTGTTTGTTTTAGGGCCACTCCCAGCAGTGCTCAGGTCTTACTCCAGGCTCTATGCTCAGGGAGCACTCCTGGCAGGGCTCAGGGGACCATCTGGGTTCCCAGGGATGGAACTAAGGTGGGTCGCATGCAAGGCAAGTGTCCTACCTGTTGTACTATCATTCTGACCCCATCTTGGTTCATTTTTAACTGGAATACATATATTAGAATTCAGAAGATGTGATGTCTACATCCAAGTGACCTGAGGACTAGATAGTGTGAGGAATCTGATAGGCTACCATATTCTCTGAGTCTTCTCGCTGTCCTCTCAGAAGGTTCACCTCACAGTACAGCCGGAGGAGGCAATGAGCCCTTGCTTCTGACAGTGATTGGTTCTGTGGGGACAGTGGTTTAGACATGACAGACCAAGAGCAGGCCTCGGCCTTCCCCCATGTTGGTGAGGCGGAGACGACACGAGTGACCTCCCTCCTTCCTCCAGGATGAGGAGCCGCGGCCGACGGGGGCCCAGGTGAAGCGGCATGCGTCCTCATGCAGTGAGAAGGCTCATCGCGTGGACCCGCAGGTCAAAGTCAAGCGCCATGCCTCCAGTGAGTTCTGGGGCTGCGGGGTGGTGTACGGGCTATCTCAAAATAAAATTCCTCCAGAGACCAGACTGGTGAATAAAAGCGTGAAATGGGGTGTGAGGAAGCACTCTACAATAAGAAAAAATGACCCAAGAGCATAATGAAGGGCAGGTAGCATGTGGTTCGGAAAGGAAAGGACCCGGCATGAAGTGGGGTCTGCAGGAACCTGGAATGCTCAAGCCCTGACCTGGGGCCACCATTTGGCCCATCCAGGCAGCAGTGCTCAGAAGAAAGAACACAAGCTTAGATATTAAGTGAAACTGACTTTTTTTCTTTGATTTAATTTATTTATTTGGTTTGGGGGCTACACCCAGTGATACTCAGGGCTTATTCCTGGCTCTGTGCTCAGGGATCACTTCTAGCAGGCTTGGGGACCATATGTGGTGCCAGGGATCAAGCCCGAGTCAGCTACATGCAAAGCCAACACCATACCCAATGTATTATCTCTCTGACCTACGGTCAGTTTTATATCGGCAACTAATTTTTCTAAATGTTAACAGTAAATAACATCAAGTATATCTGTGTGCATGTATCTTGTAATTAGGAGCACTGACCCCTACACAATGGATAATATGCATATAATGGTGACCACCCCCCAAAACTTGACTACAGTGATGCTTTGGTGGCCCCTGGGGATTAGTCTCAGGACCCCCAGCCAGTCTACGTCCTACAAATGCTAAGGTCCCTTATAGCAAATCTCCTTACCCACAGTCTTCTTATCCAGTATCTGTGGTTGCTGGATCCAAGAATGTGGAATTGATGATGATAAGGATAGAACAATGCAGTTCAAATCTGGGATTTCTGAGGGACAACTATGAGTGTGTGTGTGTGTGTGTGTGTGTGTGTGTGTGTGTGTGTTATTTTTAAGCTGTGTTGATCCACAGGCTAACAGTTGATCACCTCTGGTTGGGGATAGTAAGTAGAGAACTGAAGTCCATGAAAGGTGAGCTCATCTCTGCCCCAGTCTGAGCTCCTCCTCACACCCCACAGGGACTGGGTGGATCACCTGATCGAAACACTTAGTAATGACTAAGTAGGCAGAACAACTCTAAGGCAAGGTCTATTTGATTTCCAGCAATAATATTTACTTCTGTGTGATTTAATGTTATGAGCAAGCCAGCATCCTGTAGCTCCAGAAGTCTTTGATTCAGTTTTTTTTTTCATTTTTTATAATTTTATTTATCGAATCACTGTGAAAGCAGTTACAAAGCTTTCTGGTTTAAGTCTTGGTCATAAAATGGAACACCCTTACCTTCACCAGTGCCCATTCTCCACCACCCAAAACCCCAGTATACCCCCATCCCACACCCTCCCCCTACCTGTGGGGCAGATGATTTCCACATTACTCTCTCTCTACTTTGATCTCATTCAATATTTTGACACCAGACCCACCATTATTATTTGGGATTTTACCCCAACACTCAGATCTGGTGAAAAGGTAAGAGTAGACAATATTTTTTTTTATTGCTGGTTAAGAATAACATATGATGTTGCGTGGCTGCAGTAGTGGCCACGCGATTTTAAAATTCCAAAATTTTAACACTTAAATCTGGAGGGATTTCTGCCAAAACCTGCTGGGCTCCAAGATTTTTTTCTGAATCTCTGGGATCATGGCTGTTAAGCAGCTTGATCAGGAGCCAGAAAGGCGGTTCATGGGTGGCAACTCTGGGTCTCGTTGGGACGGGGGAAAAAAGGGCCGGCTCCACCCCCATCCCGTGAGGCCCCACATGTCTCGTCACTGCGGGCCCAAACCTAACTGTCCAGTGGCCTCTGGAGGATGGTGGCCACTGGGCCGCCAGGGGGAACAGGCCAAGGCATGAAACCTATTCCCACCTGGGTTGGCCCAGCACCGGTAACCTACTTCAGGGACCGGATGCATTTCTGCCAAAAGCCGCTGGGTTTGAGATTTGTTTCTGAGTTTCTGGGATCATGGTCATTCAGGGTCAGTTAGATCAGGAACCAGAGAGGCCATGCCTCCAATTACATAGCTGAGCCTGGGGTGGTTTGTGGGTGTGTTTCCCACATACCTAACTTTTGGCTGTTTACTTTCTTGGTAAACTTTGCCCCAAGTTTTAGGGATCTGGCCAAAGGCACAGCAGCAATTTTAGGGTATCTGGAAGTCTGAAGCGCCATCAGGCTGCTGATGCACTCGCCTCACTGGTACAGATTGACCTGCTGGCAGCACCATACCCCCTGATTCAAATCTTATAGAACAGCCTGGTTTATAAGATGTAGGAAATATAAGCCACTCTAGAGTGAGCCCACTGGACCTCCTTGTCCCCTAGCACTGTGACAGCACAGACTGTGGGCAGGATGGCTGGGAACTATAGCACAAGTTCAGCGACACTATTCAGATGAAGAAATTAAGGACTATCAAAGGGTAGTAGCCAAGATTATGGTAATCACATAGTGCTATGCAATAAATTACCCAAGAGTTAATAGACCAAAAAGCATGTGTGTGTGTGTGGCGTGTGTGTATGTGTATGTGTGTGTGTGTGTGTGTGTGTGTATGTATGTGTGTGAGTGTGTGTTGGTTTCTCTGGGCCAGGAATCCTGGAACTGTTTAGTTACGGAGGTTCTGGTTGGGGGTCTGTTGTGAGCCAGAGTGAGCAGGTCACCCACACTCGTAAATCAGGGCACTGGACACTGGTGAGAGTGTGGCCTCAGTCTCTGGACATAGGGAGCTCTCCAGTTCTCTCCTTGTCCTTACAAAATAACCAAAAGCTGGGCGCAATGCAAGACTCCCAATTATCAGTTAATAATGGAAATTGCTCCCCCTAGATCAAGGGACTTGGTAAAAAGTGACCGGACAGGAGCCACCATGCTTTGGTCATCTCACTTTGTAACATCATTTCTTCCCTTCCTAATGGCATGCAGCTCAGCCCTCTCTGATGTGGAAGGAGAATACAAAAGTCCATGCATACCCGAGAGCACAATTCACAGAGGTTGCGTGGGCTGCTGTGGAAGATAGTGCGTGGAAAGTGCCACAGACCAGCTCCTCAGCAAAGCAATCATAGCTGGTGAAAATTACTAACCCAATCATTTGGAAATTGTCCAAGTGGCACTTGAAAATTTTAAATGAAAATTCTGAATAAAAATTCTAAAAAGTGTACTAGATCTCAGTGAAAGGCATGAGGTTTGTGGCATTTAAATCACAACCCACTCCTTTACCCTTCCCCCAGCCTCGGGTGTGTAGCAAGAGTCTCCTTCCTAGGCTGAGTGGACAAGAAACAGGGCCTCCCTTCCCACAAGCTCCTAGTCAAAAGTTGCAGCATCTCCCAGGTAAGGGCAGGTCAAGCATTTCTCCTCACACCAGCTCCACAGAGTGGAAGCTAAGCTGCAGTTGAGTGCAGTTGAGAGGCAGGGATTTCTGTTTTGCTCAGCCCCAGTTCATAGGGGGAGAGGCTCTATCCAGGCCAAGAACAGCATTCTGGGAGAGGTAAACCCAGAAGATCATTCTGGGTAGTGCTCAAGGGGACTGTGTGATGCTCTGACTCTCTGGCACGTTTGTTCTTTTATTATTATTATTATTGCTGAAGAGGGGGCTGGAGAGATAGCATAGCGGGTAGGGTGTTTGCCTTGCAGGTGGCCGACCCGGGTTGGATTCCTCCATCGTTCTCCGAGAGCCTGGCAAGCTACCGAGAAGATCTCGCCTACATGGCAAAGCCTGGCAGGCTCCACGTGGTGTATTCGATATGCCAAAAACAGTAACAAGTCTCACAATGGAGACGTTACTGGTGCCCACTCAAGCAAATTGATGAACAATGGGAGGACAGTGCTTCAGTCCTATTGCTGAAGAGGATGTGGAGAAAGGGAATCCTTGCACACTATTGATGGGAATGTAAATTGGTGCAACCATATGGAAAGCCAGATATTCCTCAAGAAATCAAAAATAGAAATTCTGGGGCTGGAGAGATAGTTCAGGTACTAGCCACGCGTGTGACCAAACCTGGTTCAGTTCCCAGCACTACATGGTCCTTGAACACTGCTAGGTCTGGCCCCAAATCGTCACGGTCACGGTCCTCCCATTATTCATCAATTTGCTCGAGTGGGCCCAGTAACGTCTCCATCGTGAGACTTGTTGTTACTGTGTTTGGCATATTGAATATGTCACGGGTAGCTTGCCAGCTTTGCAGTGCGGGCAAGATACTCTTGGTAACTTGCCGAGCTCTCTGAGAGGGGCGGAGGAATCGAACCCCGCTTGGTCGGACTGGCTGCGCGCAAGGCAAACGCCCTCCTGCTGTGCTATTGCTCCAGCCCAGCCCAGCCCCAAACCATAAATAAACAAATAAATAAAATCAGAAATTCCACAGTGATTCAATAAAAAGAAAAAAATTAATTAGAAATTCCAGGTGACCCAGTTTTCTCACTGTTAGGAATTTATACAAAAACACTTTATTTAGGCCCCTGTTTATTGCAGCATTATTCATTATAACCAAAAGCTGGCACAACCAAAGTACTCATAAACAGATGACTAGATAAAAAGTAGTAATGCAGACACATTGAAGTACCAATCAGGTCTGAAAAAATAAAATAAAATTTCTGCCATTTACAGTAATATGGATAAAACTAGAAGATATTGATGTGTATTAAAATAAGCTGAATGGAGAAAGACAAAGGCAAGGATCAAAGGGCTTATTTGTATGTGGTACATGTGAAAAAATGAACTAAATAAAACAGAAATAGACTTTCAGACTCTAAGACCAAAATCAGTGGGACCGTGCAGATGACTGAAGGGGTGGCGCTCATCCTTTGCACGTGAGAGCCCCACTTCAGTCCCTGGCACCACATGAAAGAGAGGTAGGAAACTACAACTGGGGCTGCGGAAGCAGAAAAACACCACCATTCTCCTTTGCCCGATGTCATTCAGCTAAGGAGGGCGAAGAAAACACAAACCTTGGTCAGCCGGCTTGCAACGCCTGTTCCTAAACCCTGTGCTCTCCTCCCTGCCCCTCCCCCCGTCCAGCTCTCCCCCTTCTTTGCTCCTTTCTTCCCCCACCCCTCCCTTCAAGGATTCACACTAACTATATCCAGGAATGTAGCACTGTAGCACTGTCCTCCTGTTATTCATCGATTTGCTCCAGCGGGCACCAATAACGTCTCCATTGTGAGACTTGTTGTTACTGTTTTTGGCATATGGAATACGTCACGGGGAGCTTGCCAGGCTCTGCCTTGCGGGCGAGATACTCTGGCTTGCTGGGCTCTCCGAGAAGGGACAGAGGAATCAAACCCGGCTACATGCAAGGCAAACACCCTACCCACTGTGCTATCGCTCCAGCCCATCCAGGGATGTAGACCTAAATATTCCATTTCATTGATGGAGAGATGGAAGCCCAGAAAGACACTGCGCCACCAAGAGCTTGGACCAGAGGTCAGAACGGACAGCCTTTTTCTACCTCTCATCTCTGCAGGTGCCAATCAGTACAAGTACGGTAAAAACCGTGCTGAGGAGGATGCCCGGAGGTACCTGGTAGAAAAAGAGAAGCTGGAGAAAGAGAAAGAGACTCTCCGCACAGAGCTGACGGCACTGCGGCTGGAGAAGAGGGAGGTGAAGGAAGCCATCCGAAGCAACCCAGGTAGGGTGGGCGTGGCCACACTCTCCCGAAACTGCTGCACTGGTCTCCAGGTTTCCCCATCACCAGCCCTCCTGTGGGAATGAAGTGCCATCGACTTAATAACTGCTTTTAGATTTGGAGATGGCCAAAGGTGTGTATACTAGATGTAGCGAAATGTAATGATTTTAGATATGTTAACATGGGGGAAACTGTGCCTTAGAATCAAGTTGATTAGAGACATCAGTTCAAAGTATCACAGGAACTCACTGATTCACAAATAGGTTGCAGAGCACACAAATCTGTGACACATTGGTCTGAATTCTAGGCGTGAGGGGTGTAATACCTGACTGAAAAGTATCTCTTTTGAAATCCAGGGCCATGACCTCTGCAGGCTCTGCTAGTTCGAACTCTTCTGCACCCACTTTCTGCCATATTTCTTTTGAATTATTCCTATAGCTAGTTTGGTACATATGGGGGAGGGTGTTTCTTCACATCCCGGGGGGAACAAAGGTCCTATACTTAGAGGATATTGCCCAGATCACATAGCCCCATGAATATCTCAGAGCCTATAAAATCTCTTTCAAAGGAAAAAAAAACACAGAATTTGAAGAGATAGGACAGCAGATAAAGCACTGTCTTGCATGCAGCAGATCTCGTTTTGATTCCCAGTACCCCATACTGTCTCCAGAGCCCTGCCAGGAGTGATCTCTGAACACAGAGAAAGTAGTAAGCCTTGAGCACTGCTAGATATGGTCCCAAAACAAAAATTTAAACACCCTGGTTCACAATGTTGCAAATAATTTTCAGAGTTTATGTGACTGGAGTCCTTCCATAGAGTTGCTTGGAAATCTATTAACCTCTGATCAGAATTCTTGTGTAAAGGAATGAACTTGAGGGGTCAGAGAGATAGAACAAAGGGTACGGTATTTGCTTTATATGCAGCTGACCCAGGTTCAATCCCCATCCGAATCCCTGAGCCCACCAGGAGTGATCTCTGAGGAGTAAGTCCTGAGCACCACAGGTATGACTCAAAAACAAACAAACAAACAAATACCCAAACAAAAAAAGGAATCAACCTGCTGACAGGCATAGAACCAGAACCAAAGCGCCATAAACTCAAGAAGGCAGCTTGGTTTCAATAGAAAGAAAACTTTATAGGGGAAAAGGCAGCTCAGATAGAGAAGGGAACACCATATAAAGGGTGTTGGGAGGATCCGCCCAAGATGGGAGAAGCATGCTGAAAGTAGACTATAGACCGAACATGATTCCCACTCAATGCCTCTTTTGCAAACCACGGCACCCAAAAGGAGAGAGAGAACAAAAGGGAATGCCCTGCCACAAAGGCGGGGGGGGGGGGGGGAGTTAAGGAGTGGGAGGGATACTGGGATCCGTGGTGGTGGAAAATGGGCACTGGTGGATGAATGGGTACTTGATCATTGTATAATTGAAACCCAAGCACAAAATTTTCTAAGTCTACAACTGTACTTCATGGTGTTTCACTAATAAAAAATTTAAAAACAAAAGAAAGAAAGAAAGAAAGAAAGAAAGAAAGAAAGAAAGAAAGAAAACTTTATAAGAAGACTCAGAACCATGGCTTAGAAAAGGCTGACTGTTCTTGTTTTGGTCAACTTCTTTTCTATAGCACATCACTTTATAAAATTATTATAGTTGTTGTACTGTCTCTCCTTCCATCCCCCACTCTGTCACATACACATGTCTGTGCGCCCAGCTCTGTAAGAGCTAGTTTCTTTGCCTATATTGTTTCCTACTGTATCCCAAAGAGACCCAGCGCAGTGCCTGGTACGAACTAGGCATTCAGTAAATATTGAATGAATGAATAATCAATGAACAAATGAATGAATGAAAAGAATGACCTACTCTTGGCTTAACTGGCTGAAGTGCATGCTTTCATGCAGGAAACCTGGTTTAATTCCTAAACTTCATGGTCCCCCAACACCTCCAGGAATAACCCCCAAACACTGAGCTTGGAATAATCCCCAAGCACCATCAGGTATGGCTGAATAAATAAATATATATATATATGTGTGTGTGTGTGTGTGTGTGTTTATATATGTATATATACACACATATATGTATTGCCATACATATATATATATATATATATATATATATATATATTGCCACCGTTGCCTTCAGTATAGCCTTGCTTTGGGCAAAGAATGGAATTTTTAGACCTAACACCATACAGCTCTTGGCACAGAGAAAATTCATACTGAAAGCAAAACCCTGTGTTATTACTCAGTTACATGAGAGATCAAAGTCAGATTGGCTTATTAAATGAAAGGAGAAAATCATTACTAGACAAACAGTGATTAAGCCCCACCAGCCTTGACCCTCCTAGACCCCAGATGCTCCAGGCCTAACTCAGCTATTTCTCCCCCATGTGTTTGGACCCAGGAGAAAAACAGTTGGCTCTCGAAGAGACCCTGGCCACCCTCGAAGCCCAGTGTCGGGCAAAGGAGGAACGACGGATTGACCTGGAGCTGCGGCTGGTGGCCGTGAAGGAGCGCTTGCAGCAGTCCCTGGCAGGGGGCCCAGCCCTGGGGCTCTCCGTGGGCAGCAAGAACAAGAGTGGGGTGAGTCCATTCCCTCCCCTCCCGCTCCTGCCACCCCTCACATTTTTCTTTAACCTTTCCACTCACGGTACCTTTTGTTGGGATGGTCACACATGGCAGTGCTCAGGGATTACTCCTGAATCTGCACTCAGGGATCACTCCTGGTGGTGCTCGGGGGACTATCTGGAGTGCTGGGGATCGAACCCGGGTCGGCTGCATGCTAGGCAAGTGCCCTACCCGCTGTACAATCTCTGACCCCTTATAGCCCCTTTTTTGCCCAATTAAGTTGCATGACACTGCATGCGGTGCTGTCCTGTGCCATGGGTCTGTGGGTTCTGCCTTCTCTCTACCACTTGTCAAGCCATGGTCCTTCTCAGGAGTCTAGATCCAGGAGATGCAGTAGTGAGAAAGAGCCAATATTCCTTTTCTTGGAGCCACACACTGCTTGCCTGCCTTGCTTCCTGCAGTCCTTCTGCTCACTGGTAGTTTTAGGGCTCTCCAGCCGTGTTGTCTTAGGACTCAGACCCCCACACTTGCCGTGTTAGACTCCCCTCGCAGCAGCCTCACGGCCCTCCTGAGCTCCTGACTCACCCCAGCGGGCAGCCACTCTCCAGTGGTACCTGAGCCCTAGTTAGTCTTAGAGCTTCTAGCTGGCTTTCGAGCTGCACCGCTGGCAGCCCCCTAATCTCTCCTACTCTGCCGCCTTCTGTCTCCCCCCCCCTCCCACCTTCACCCCTCTCTCTCTCTTTCATCTTCTCTCTCTTCCCCTATCACTTCCACCTTTATCCTTCTTTCCCTCTTTTCCACCTTCTCTCTCTCCCTGTCTCTCTCCCACCCTCACTCCTCTCTCCCTCTTTTCATCTTCTTTCTCTCTCCCTCCCTCTTTCCCACTGCCTCCCACCTTCTTTCTCCCACCTTCACCCCTCTCTCTCCCAAGTGCTCTATACTTTCTCCCTCTCATGCTCTTTCTCCCACCGTCTCCCTATCCCTCTCTTTCCCTCTTCCGCCTTTTCTCCCTCTCTCCACCCTCTCACCCCCCTCTCCCATTCTCTCCTTTTTCCCATCCTCTCCTTCTCTCTCTTCCTCCCACTTCTCTCCCACCCACCTTTTCTCCTACCCTTTCTCTCTCTCCCTCCCTTTCTCCCTTTCTCCTTCTCTCCCTTTCTCTCCCCTTCTGCATTCCCCCCTCCCCCCCCCCACACACCAGGATAGCCCCTACATCTTCCTTGGGCTCTCTTGGCTCATCTCAGCAGCCAGGGCAGCACTCCTTAGCTAACTGCACCCCTCTAGCTTGCTCACTCATGGAGCCCATTCTTGCTGCAGTCTCAGCTACCCCATTCCCAGGGAATAGGACAAAGTCAGCAAACTGCCAGCATCTTCCTGCACACCTGTGGGGTAGGCACATCCACCCCACAAGTAAGTACCCAAGGTCTTGCCCAAAGCTCCCTCTGTGTTCCTGGCTCCTGTGCCCAAGGTTTTGCTACTGTGCCTGAGTCAGAGATTCATTCCCATCCCGGGCCCCCCAATGTACCCCTAGATATACAGCCCCTTGCAGGCCAAAGGCCTCACTCTCCTTCACTGGGGAGAAATACCTAATAATTTTGCCATAAGCCCCACACTGGTGTATAAAATAGCTATACGATCAAACATTTACTGATAATTGTGTTACTGTCCTGTCACTGTCCTCCCGTTGTTCATCAATTTACTCGAGCGGGCCCAGTAATGTCTCCATTGGAGACTTTTGTTGTTACTGTGTTTGGCATATCGAATACGTCACGGGGAGCTTGCCAGGCTCTGCCGATAATTGTGTAATCCAAAATAAATAAGAGGGTGCATTGGTGGTGTGGTCTCGCCCGCCACATGCGTTCGGTGGCCTTGAGCCATTTCCCCCACCCCAGCCTGCAGCCACTGCCAGTGAAGGAGAGAACAGGGCTGCCAGGCTTGTTGGCAATCAGTTGCCGTTTATTCCATTCTCCACGCCCCCCCCACCCCGTGCCTGTTCCAATCTCACCGAGCTCCCCATTCCAGTTTCACACTGCCCCTCATTCCCATCTCCTCCTGTCCCCCATGCTAGTCTCTCGTCTTGCCCAACCTCCAAGCATTGGGGGTAGCAGCTACACCCATGTCCAGTAGTGCAGTCAACATATGAAAACTCTTCCTTCCAATCATCTGCAGCCAAGAGATCCGCTCAAGAGCAGAATACCACCTAGGGGTATTCTTTCCTTAGTCCATTTACCATGTAAACGTTCATCTTAATTCTACTTCTTGATATTAGCCGTTTTGTATGGAAACAGTAAGAGATATATTAAGCTTATAGGGTGGCTCTCCTGGGGGCATCTTGCTATATATCTCAGACTACAGTGCTCAGGGTAGATTAGTCTTTACTAACCCTAAGTATGGTCCTTATCCAGTTGTTACTCTTTGGATTATGACAGAATTTGTCCATGACACTTGAGCCCGTGTTGATGCCAGTGTAGCTCATAGCTTGCCCTGGGTCCATCCAGTCTTTCATCGGGACCCTACTTTTGGGGTGCTAGGAATGAAGGGCAACTTAAAACTTTAAAGCAATTTAAAGGCATAAATGGAAAAAACAGATGCTCAGGAGTGAATATTATTAGGAGTCAATTAACTTCCAAGTTACAAAAGCATAGCATTAACTGTCTTCCTGTGTCTATACAAAAAGGACTTTGCTCTGAGGTAAACTGCAAAAGGACATGAGGGAAGGAGAAAAGCAGTATTGCACTTACAAATCAACAGTCTGATTTGGGGATAAAGGTGATTCACCGGTTGGGGAAGAAGAACACAGAGAAGAGGTTAAAGATAAACACACAGGGGGGCTGGAGCAATAACACAGAGGGTAGGGCGTTTGCCTTGCACGCAGCCGACCTAGGTTCTATTCCCAGCATCCTATAAGGTCCTCCGAGCGCTGCCAGGAGTAATTCCTGAGTGCATGAACCAGGAGTAACTCCTGTGCATCTCTGGGTGTGACCCAAAAAGCAAAAAAAAAAAAAAAAAAAAAAGATAAACACACAGGAATGGGAGTGCCTCGGGAGCACTATGATGGGTGTAACCTCATAAACCTAAGCTCCCTGCTACCAGGGAAAAAATGACAAACCAATGTCATCTTACAGATAATGAATAAGATTTATTTTATTTTAAAACAAATTCTTCATGATCCCACATTCAATCGCATGCCACCACGTGGGACGATGCCCACCAAAGTTTAAGGAACTTGGCTACAGTGTTGAATGATTTGCTCAAGCTAAGTGGGAAACGGGATTCCAAACCTAGCAAGCCTTAATTCTGAAGCTCTCTTTGATGTTTTAGCCACCAGGACACGTGCCCTCTCCTAGTCCTCATGTAGCAGATCCTGTCCTTAGGGCTTTGTATCCATTCTCTCCAAGGTTCCCTGTACCCTGCAAGGCAGATACTCTTACCCTGAATGGGACTTCCTCAGAGAATTCAGCCTGCCTTGGTAAACATCAGTATCTCAACCTCAGCACTAGTGACATTCGGGATCAGTAACTCTTAAAGGGGCTGTTGTGTGCTTTGTAAGATGTTTAAGAACATCCTTAGCCTCTGCCCACTAGATTCCAATAGCTTCACTCCCCATATGTCAACCAAAATGCCCCCAGAAACTGCCAAATGCCTCCTTCATGGGAAGAATCACTTCTATTTGGAAATCACTAGCCTTAATTACCAAGAGTTTTATCTGTTATTCTTCATAGTACTTAACCACAATTTTAATGTATGTTTTTATATATGTGTGTGTTTATAAACATATGTAATATCTGTCTTCCCAACTCTTGTATTTTTTTTCAAGAATTGGACTATGTATTTCATCACAACCCTTGTCTTTAGTGTATGACAAATAGGAAGAGTGCAGTGAATGTCTGCTACATATATTTAGAGACACTGTCACTGTCACTGTCCTCCCGTTGTTCATCAATTTGCTCGAGCGGGCCCAGTAACGTCTCCATTGTGACAATTGTTACTGTGTTTGGCATACTGAAATACATTACGGGTAGCTTGCGAGGCTTTGCCTTGCGGGTGAGATACTCTGGGTAGCTTTCCGGACTCTCCGAGAGGGGCGGAGAGACAAGGTGATTGAAATTCAGAGAGATTAAATAACTGATTTGGTCAGTGTGAGCTCGGTATTGGGAACTGTATTGCTCTTGGCCATTGAATCTGAGCAGACCACACCCATGACTCTGAAGCTAGGATTGTTTCTTCTGCCCCTACACTCTGTGAGGTATTTCCAACACAGTCTACAGACCAGGAGGTGGAGGAGCTACAAACAGTTCCCTCACCTCGGCTACTTCCTCTGCCAAGAGGCCCAGAAGTTCACATTTCAGAGGACTTTCCCCTTCACTTGGAGATGAAAAGATAACTTCTCTAAATTCCCTGCAGGGCTAGGTACTGCAGGTGAGATTTTTTTTTTTTTTTGAAGTTTGTGATCTAACTTTATTGAATAGATTTTTCATTGGTTTTCAATCCTTTTTTTTTTTTTTGGCTTTGTAGATTTTAAGCAATTACCTGCGTTTAAAGCAATTACCTGGGTTTGTTTTTGGTCACAGTCCGTCCCCCTCCCCCCCAACGGAGATGGTGATTTGAATCTAAAGAGTCACTTAATCACTTAACTTAATCACTTAACTTCCCCTTAGTTGTCAAGCAAATCGACAGTAATGTCTCCATTTGTCCCTGTCACGTGCTAGTGTAGCCCAATGGCATCTGTTCGCTCTGGGAACATGAAGAGCCTCAAACCGATCATTCATGATCTTGATGAAGAAGTCTGACCATCTGGTAGGTGGGCGGCCACGCGGTCTTTTGACATCCCGTGGAATCCAATCAGTAACAGCTCTAGTCCAGCGCTCATCTTTAAATTTCATTATGTGACCAGCCCATCTGATTTTTGACACCTTGGCAAACGAGAAAGGGTCCCTGATTCTTGATCGTAGACAGATGTCGGAACTCCGGATTCTTTCTCTCATTTGAGTGAAACGTGATATTCCAAGTATAGCTCTTTCAGTTCCTCTTTGGGAGACCCGAATAGCCTTCTCATCCTGTTTACGTAGGCCCCAGGTCTCTGAGGCATATGTTAATGCAGGAAGAACAGTGGAATCAAAGAGATGTGCCCGGTGCTGGAGGTTCTTCGTCCTCTTAGCTATTTCTTTGACATTCTTGAAGGCGTTCCAAGCCGCTCTCTTCCTCCTGCGCAGCTCGGGTGCCAGGTCATTTGTCCTGTTGACTTCTCGACCTAGGTACACATAGCTGTTGCATTCGGAGATGGTCGTTCTGTTGAGAGTGAATGGGGCATCAGGAACGAGGCTGTTTCTCATAAACATTGTCTTCATAAGATTCAGCTGTAGTCCTACCTCTCCACACTCACGGTCAAAGTCGGCCAGCATTTGTGCCGCTTGGCTGATGTTTGGCGTTATTAAAACAATGTCATCAGCAAAGTGGAGGTGGTGTAGTTGCCGACCATCTATCTTCACTCCCATTCCTTCCCATTCCAGTTGTCGCATGATGTTCTCGAGGGTGGCACTGAAGAGTTTCGGTGAAATGGTATCACCCTGCCAAACCCCTCTCCTGACATCAACAATCACTTCTTTGTAGAATGGTGAGATCCTGGTAGTGAATCCGCAATACAGCTCACGGAGGATCTCTAAAGAGAGCACACAGGAATCCATGTGATAAATGGAAAATGCATAAATTTATTAAGGGTACCCTGCACTGAGGGTCTCATCACCAAGGTGGTCAACAGGTCCTTGTTCAGAGAGAAGGTCACATCCACTAAATGACCAGAAGCATATCAGGCACTCTTTTGTTCTTTCAAAATTAAGGACTTTGATTTCAGGAATAAGTGAGTGTTTCACAAATACATGCTGATTTCTTTCCCAGAAGAGGGTCACATGGATCATGACATCTACAATGGCACAACCCACAAGAAAAATGGAATCAGTCCTGCACACAGAGGAGAGGAGAGGAATGGGACTGTCAAGGTTAAATCCTGGTTGTCTCACTCCTCATTTCCATGACTCTAAGCATAGCTTGACCTTCCCATTTTCCTTATCTGGAAGTTAGGATGACTAATAATAGTACATACCCCATAGGCTGGGAAAGACTAGATAAGCTAATCTATACAGTACCTGCTATCCATCATTGGTAAAAGCCCTTTGTTGTCTTCTAGGATCACCATCTGATACTTCTATGGGCCTTCTGTTTGCATTCTTTGGAAAGGATGTTAGTTCTAAATAGATAAGATTAGATCTCACCTATGTAACCATTTACTGTCATTAACAGGACACGTCAAATAAGCCGCCAAACAACACGGCAGAGCAACCACTGCCTGTCAACTGTGTTTCTGAGCTGCGGAAGAGGAGTCCGTCCATCATAAACTCCAACCAAGGAAGGGTGCTACAAAAAGCTAAGGTACAGTAAGAGGGCAACTGATCAAAGTTCATGTATCTGCCAGCCTCTTTGATATGGAGCCTTATTAAGAGCCAGCCAACGAGGTAGTGAGAATAGCAGCAAACTGCCATCTGTGCAGTAACTTTTAATGAACACTGTTCAGAGAAGAACCTTAAATCTCATTCGAGAACAGACTTACTCTTCCTGCATAATTCTAATATCTCTAAGGTCTGTGCTTTAGGTGTGTTTTGAGATGGGAAAGGCTCTTTCATAGGTAAGGAAAAGAAAACTCAAGGAGCAAAAGGACTTGCCCGTGGCCAGGCAGGACACCTCTCCCGAGCTGGGATGAAAACCAGCCTCTTCCAAGGCTATGACAATGGCCTCTTGCCCTGTCTCTGCAACTCTTGGGGCCAGCTGTATTTTACAGCTTTTGGACTTTGGGGAAAAAACTGTATTTTCGGAAATGTAGCTGTAATAGCACATATACTATAGAGGATGAAAAACCCCAAGAGGTTCTCTGGAGGTACTCTGTACCTTGTTCAACCATGTTACTATTTCTACCACATTGGGGCAACAGCTAGTACAGAGGTCAAGGCACTTGGCTTACACATAGCCGATCTGGGTTCAATCTCTGGAACTACAGATGGTCCTCTAAGTACCGCCTGGAGTGATCCCTGAACACCACAAGTGATCCCTGAGCACCATTAGGTGTGACCTGAAAAAACAAAATAATAATAGTAATAATAATTCTACCACAAAATATATGAATGGGGGCTGGAGTGATAGCACAGTGGGTAGGGCATTTGCCTTGCACGCGACTGACCGGGTTCAATTCCCTCATCCCATATGGTCCCCTGAGCACTGCCAGGAGTAATTCCTGAGTGTAGAGCCAGGAGTAACCCGGGTGCATTGCTGGGTGTGACCCAAAAAGCAAAAATAAAAACAAAAAAAAACAAGATACATGAATGTTGGGTACTGGAGAGACAGGACAGTAGTTAAGGCACTTATTCTTACATACAGGTGACCGGGGTTTGATCCCTGGAACCATTCCTGAGCAGAGAGCCAGATATAAGCTCAGAGCACAGCTGGGTTTGGCCCCCAAAAATATACATATTTATACCATATTTAATAACTATATTACAGTAGCCTCTTATCACTTCAGCTCATGTTTTGCCATCAAGTGATTTTATGCAAAGCACTTAAGTTATTTTGCTTTCAGAGCTTTCTGGGTTTCAGAACAGAAGGTAAAGCATAACTCTGAAAAACAAACACACCTTAGGACAAGGAATTAGAGTAGGAACTGGCCAGAACTCCAAACCAGACAGCAGCAGATGTTTTTATGAAAGGGGCCGAAGAGTAAATATTTGAGGCTTTTTGGACTACTTGTCTCTTTAAATTCATTTCTGCCATTGAATCAGGAGAATAGCCACAGACAACATGTAGATGAATGATGAATATTACTGGACTCCAACAAAACTAGTATGTGTATATAATTTTCACAGGTCATGAAAATTATTTCTTTTATCCCCAATCATTTAAAGACGTGAAGATCATTCTTTGATAATAGGTAATATTTTTTTTAAAAAATGCAGTGAGCTATATATGACCTGTGAATTATGACTTCTCTTTGATTCTTGTAGACCACTGGAAGAATTTTGAATTTTATTCTAACAATGGAAAAGTCATTGGAAAAATTTGAGTGAAAGATTTTTTTAAAAAGATTTTAAAATTGGATGTTTTAAAGACCTCTCTGGTTACTTTGTTATAAATTAGTGCATGTGGGAACAAGAGAAACTAGGTAGTAGTCATCTAAATGGCAGTGAGGGAGGTCTGGGAGAGTTGACATGAAAGTGGCTGGTCTTGGTAAGCAGTGTGAGAGCAGGGCAGCCACAGCTCCGCACCATCCTTAGGGTTTCTGAGATGGACACTGGGCTGTCCCATCACCCCTCCCCACCACAAGATTCTATGAAGAAGCCTTGCATCTAGATGCAATTTCCTGCTCCCTTCTACACCTTCCTCTTTCTACACCTGCTCCCTTGTCTGAGATAAGCAAGCTTAGTGATGTTTGCATCTCCTGAGAGGGGAAGCCCAACATCAACAAATGACTTTCCCAAGTCCAAAGAGAGTAAGTCTGAGGTCTCAGGCTCTCTAATCTGGTCCGTGATCATCTTTATAACCATGAAATACTATGCCATCTTTCAGCCTGCAAATCCCATTTGAATGCATAGCCTACACACTGATTTGTTTTGTCTTTCTGTACTTCAGGAATGGGAAATGAAGAAAACCTAGAGAAGATGAGGATTTCACACAAAAGAAACATCAGTTTGACCACGCAAGGCAGAAATTTTTCTGCTTTTTTCACAAGGAGACATCCGAATGCTAGATGTGGACCTTACTCTCTAGGGCACCCAAAAGACCAGCCTTTATTGTCTGTCTGCATGATTATAGGGGGGTTAGGGGAGGGAAGAAGTAGCAGAGGGAATTGGAGGGTATTCTTGTGGCTTTATGGTGGATAGAAGTAGGGGTAGAGGGAGATGAAATTTGCACAATTGTAAAGATTTTGTTAATACCTTTGCCTTCCATTCTCAAGAAATGAAAGTATATGTGATAAGCCTTTCTCTCTCAATCTCAGAATCCCATTCTCCATCCCTTGGGCAAAGCAAAGCAAAGCAATGCTGAAGTACTGGAAGTGCAGTGCAGAGATATGCCAGCTGGTCTCGTACTGGACATTACTGACCACCTCTGGGACAAATAGGCTGAAAAAGCAAGAGAACCATCCTTGCCTCCAGAGAGTTAAACAAAAGCTATAGAGAATATGCAACATCTATAATAATCCCTCGTTTTAGAGCTGGGAAAATGCAGCCACTGGAATCCCTGAGTTGTGTGATTTCAAATCAGAGATCTGGGTGTGCATCACGCAAGGGGGAAAGGTGCTATAACTGATGTATTATGCTCACAGTGATACTCAATGACAGAATCATGGATTTCCAGCTATGCAATGTCAAATGCATTGCATGGTGGGATCACTCTCTGTCATTCCTTTAGCTACAGTGTTCTAGAAGCTAAGGGTAGAGGTCCAGATGACATTCTCTGTCTTTATCTTCAGTTGCTCTTCCAAATCTGCTATCAAGTAAAACCTGTGACTCATAAGCATTTTAAAAACACTTGAGGGGTTGGAGCGATAGCACAGCAGTAGGGCTTTGCCTTGCACGTGGCCAACCCAGGTTTGATTCCCAGCATCCCATCTGGTCCCCCAAGTAATTCCTGAGTGCATGATCCAGGAGGAACCCCTGTGCATCACTGGATGTGACCCAAAAAGCAAAAAATTTAAAAAATAAAAAATAAAACCACTTGATACTTTCATAGGAAAACAAAGACCTCAAGTTTCCTTACTGAGCCACTCACTACTTTCTCTGCACTTTACAGGTCTTTATCATGTTTCTTTCTGATCAGATAGAGGTTATCTCAAAGAGATTAAAACCCCAGGATAACCTATGAGAACTCTGTTAGAAAATGTACATGCTTCTTAGCTAAGAGTACCAGTACTTTATCATCAAAAGTTACCACTCTTAATGGTAGCTGGAGACCAAAGTAGGGAAAATAACTAGACCAAAAGCAGAACATAATATTTAGCAAAGCATAAGGTTTGGGGGCTGGAGCGATAGCACAGTGGGTAGGGCGTTTGCGTTACACACAGCCAACATGGCCAGCCCGGGTTCGATTCCCAGCATCCCATATGGTCCCCCAAGCACCGCCAGGAGTAATTCCTGAGTGCATGAGCCAGGAGTAACCCCTGAGCATCGCTGGGTGTGACCCAAAAAGGAAAAAAAAAGCATAAGGTTTAGAGAATGAGTTACTCAAACTTCCACCTGGAGAAGACAGGTGGAGATCTGAGTAACCTTTGCTGTTTCAGCTATGTGGCTAGAAAAGTCATGTGATCTCATTGTTTCATCTTTTCCTTTCCTGTGAAATCAAGGTTTACAACTATACTTTCCTTCCCAAAACCACTGTGGGACTCCAATGAAACAAAACAAGAGAAACAATCTGTAGTGTTCAAAAAAGAATGGCTATTATTAGCTTTCAAAATAATTCAAAATCCTGTTTATTTTCCACTAAAGAAATGGTCTATATGGTAAAGATACCAAAAGTTAAAAGGCAATCAAAACCAAATGTGAATCGTGGAAAGGCACCAAACATCCAATTATGATCTTATTGTATGGCACCTTTTTTCATGAAGTAATTCCAAAGTTAAATGCTTTTCCCAAAGTATATAATAGAGATTTGGATGTTAAGTAATAATAATTAACACTGAACATTCTCCATGAATCAGGAACTGTGTTAGTTGGGGAAGGCTTCCCAGATATGCAGCCCACATTTGGTAGGGTCTCGAGTCTAAGCTAATGCTCTACTTTTGCCTTCTTAGTAATTTTTTAACAAGGGGGCTCTACATTTCCCCCCTTAAAATTATGTAGCCAGTCCTGGTGCTATGTACTTTCCCTGACAATATCCCTTTCATCTTTACCTAAAACCATGTGTGATAGATTTTGTTATTTGTTTTCACAGCTCACAGAATGGGAGTCCAGAGAGGTTGGGTAACTTGTTGAAGCTCATGAAAGTGGTAAAGTGAAGATAACACTTGAATACAGATAGGAAACCTAGCCCTAGATTACTCCTTCCTACTTTCCAGTCTCTGTTTCATCCATGTCTTCCCCACTCCCTTGCACTACGACATTCTATCATACTGGCACTTAATGAGTATGTGAATGAATACAGCCCTTAATAAATATGCACACATGTATACAGCACATCTGGTGTTAAGTTGAAGAGTTAAAAGAAGTGCAGACAAGGAGCAAGGATATGATTTCAGTGACAGAACACATGACATTCAGGTACCAAGTTCAGTCCCCAATTTCACATGGATCCTCAGAATTGCCAGATATGAACAAAAAAAAAAAAGTAGGGGTTGTACAAACAAAATGACTGAAGTATAGATGCCAGTTCTTGCTTGTTAAAATGCCTTTCTCGGATTGCCTTATCAAAATAAGACTCTTGAGTCTGATGTGGTCTTCAAGTTCCATCATTTCCAACATCCCCAAATTTTTGGAACTTGATTAAAATAAAGAGGCAAAATCTCTGTCTTCATGGAATTCACATGTAGAAATCTGACCTAAATATCAACAGTACAATAAGTCACGTTCAGAACGATGAAGGCATAAATCCCATCCTTTCAAAAAGCGGGGGGGGGGGGGGGGGGGGGGGGGGGGGGGGGTGCCTAAGTGGTTAGTGTAGCAGGTAGAGCACTTGCTGTGTATGTGGCCAACCTGGGTTTGATTCCCAGCAACCAATGTGGTCCTCCAAGCCTGCCAGGAGGGATCCCTGAGCACAGGGCTAGGAATAAGTCCTCGGCACCAACAGGTGTTACCCCAAAATAAAGCAAAACAAAACTGTTCGTGGCTAAGGAACTATCCAGCATCTTCAAGTAACTTCCACTCCAAACATCTCATAAATTTATCTATTTACTATCTCCACTGCACCATTCTGTTTCCAATTTATTAATTCAATTTTTATTGATCACATTATATGGATCTACTGTCCTAGATGTTAGAAATTACAGCTGTTGGGGCCAGAGTGATAGTACAGTGGGTAGGGTGTTTGCCTTGTACACGGTCGACCTGGGGTCGATCCCCGGCATCCCATATGGTCCCCCAAGCACCACCAGGAGTAATTCCTGACTGCAGAGCCAGGAGGAATTCCTGAGCATTGCTGAGTGTGAACCCAAAAAGCAAAAATAAAAAATTACAGCTGTAAATACAAACACCCTCAATTAGGACAGCAAACAAACAAAAAGAAATAAAGCAAACTAAGATCGAAACCAAAAAGTCACCGGACACAGCGTAAAAGCTAACTGCTTTAGAACATTCAGTAACAAGTGTCTTTCTGTTGAGGAGATTCCAGGGTAGAACAGAACCATCTTCCTTGGGCTCAAGAGCTTATTTTTTCTTTTTGGGTCACATCCAGCAATGCACAGGGGCCACTCCCGGCTCAGGCACTTAGGCAGTCCCCAGGGGACCATATGGGATGCTGGGAATCGAACCTGGATCGGCCGCGTGCAAGGCAAACACCCTACCCGCTGTGCCATCACTCCAGCCCCTCAACAGCTTATTTTTACATACTGCAAACTCCTGCAACACAAAAATGACCCCTCACGTCAAGGCTTTCAGACATGGTCCCATTGCAACCTAAGACTCAAATGCACCGAAGTGTTTGACAACTTCATTAAATGTAGTTTAAAAAAAATACTGCACTATTGGACCTTCCTTTTTAATAAGGGTAAACTGGAGGATGGGGAAGGCAGTGATGGCAGAGTGGGTCACTGGAAGGCCTGACGGTTCGGCCCACTCACGTGACCTGGCCCTTCCTCTTCCTCCCGTGACTGACTCCCTCATCACTGACTGCGTTACGTGCTCCTCTCCACTGCATTCTCTTTTCCCGAGCCACTTTACTCCTCTTGCCCTTTATTCGCCCTTCCGCTCCCAGTGCAAGTCTTCTCTTTGGGCACCCAACCATATCGCACCCTACGTCGCCCCTCGCTCCTGAAACACCGCCCACAGTTTGGCCTCATTTGCTCAACGTCTATCAGTTCCCGGGAGCTCCGTGCAGACACCACCGGGCACGCCTTCCGCCAGCCCCGCAGCTGAGCCGGGAGCGAAGCCCGCTAAACCGGCGCCGGAAGTCTCTTCCCCCACCAGGATCCGCACGGCATGACCGGAAGCGAAGCTTTGGAGGAAAAGCCCGCGGGAAGAAAGTGCTCGCAAAGGCTGCCGGGAAGCGTGGTTTTTCTCTCTCTCTCGCTCCCTTTCCGCGGAGCCTAGCCTGGGCTTGGGAGCTAGTGCGCATGCGCCGCCTCCTCTGCCGCGCTCGCAAACATGGCGGCGCGAGCCCTGGGGTCGGTCCGGTGGCCGCTCCGGCGCCTCCTGGCCTCGGGTGCCGGGTCCAGTGGCAGGTGAGTGAGTCGAGCGGGGGGCCGCGGGCGTGAGGACGGTGCTGAACCCTGCAGAGCGGGAGGGCAAGCCTCCCCGCGCGGCCTTCTGCCTGCCAACGTCTCGGGTGGGCGTGCTGGGCTTTGCCCCGTTCCCCACGTGCCTTGAGCCGCGGCCCTGCCCCCGCGTCCTGGTCTCTCGGACCCGGTGCCACCCGCCGAAGCTGCTGCTTGTATCCATCTATGGATGGGTTCTCTGGCCGCCTGCGGTGTGCAAACAGCGACGGGCTTCGTGCCGAGAGCCATCGGGTTTCCCGGGCGTTGAACCCGGGCAGTGTTATGCACCGTGGCTAGGGCGCTTGCCTTGCACGCGGCTCACCTGGCTTTGAACCCACCCTGCCACCCCCTTCTGTTCCCCCTTAGCCTCACCGGGAGTGCCAGGAGTAAGCCCTGGGCAGCACTGGGTGTAGCCCCAAACAAAACAAACCTTTGCTCCAGGTGTCAGTTCAGTGACTAGTTTTTCGTGTATGTTATTTATATGAACAAACTGTCTGGAAGAGCTCTTAGGGCCAGAGAAACCCCGGTTGAATCTCTGCTATTGTCCCCTGAGCACAGCCAGGACTACCAAACCGGTTGTGGCTCCCAAAACAGATTTTTTTAATTTTAAAAAGAACTTTTTTTTTTTAATTTTTATTAGTGAGACATCATGAGGTACAGTTGTAGACTTACAAATTTTTGTGCTTGGGTTTCAATTATACAATGATCAAATACCCATCCCTCCACCAGTGCCCATTTCCCACCACCACGGATCCCAGTATGCCTCCCACCCCCCATCCCACCCTGCCTCTGTGGCAGGGCATTCCCTTTTGTTCTCTCTCTCTTATTGGGTGTTGTGGTTTGCAAAAGAGGCAATGGGTGACAATCATGTTTGGTCTGTAGTCTACTAAAAAGAACTTTTAATGCACAATTTAACTGATAATTTTGTTTCCAGTCAAATTATATGGCTTCTGAAAGGAAAATTCGTTGAACTGCCAAAATTCAAGGTATCACCTACTTTGAATTTCTTATGTAAACTGAACTAAAGTGTCAAACATTGAGCTATGAAAGTCCAACAATACTAACAGAATATAAAGCTCTTTTTTAGTCACTTCTTTATAGTTCACGTCCCATAACAAAGTGACTTGATTTTTACATAGGTGAGTTCTTGCTTAGAATCTCTGTTAACATATGGACTTGTTCCTAAAAGCTTACAAAATTCCAGGCCTGACTTCTGTTTTGTAAGCCCCCTTTACTCCTTAACCTTCCCCACTGTAAGGTATTGGACCAGAAGTCTAAGGCTTTGTGTTTTGAATTTATGTTTCTGGTTATTTCCTTGCTGAAATAGCCAGCAGGTATCAGAACTTGGTTTTCCCTTCTGTTATGCACCCCCCCCCCCCTGCTGTTTTTCCACTTCTGCCTGTTTCCACATCTGTTGCCTGATGCTCAGTATCCTGGTTCAGCAGACTACTTACTGTGTGTGTGAGATCTTGAGCCAGTCATATGTTTCTCTGAGCCTGTTTGGTCATCTGAGAATAGGAATGATAATATTACCTGCACACTGTTGTGAGATTTAAGAAAAGGATTGCAATAAATCTGACGCCACTTAGACAGCCCTTCCTAAGTGAGTATGTTGTTAACTGACCGAGAGTCCTGTGTCAGCCTCTAAACTAAACTAACATGGGCCGTTTCTGATGGCAGCCCTTCATGTTTGCCCTCTCCCTCCCATCTTAGAGCATGGCTGCACCCTTTCAGCACCGCCACCCAGAGAACTGCTGGTGAGGACTGCAGTTCGGAAGACCCTCCTGATGAGCTTGGTCCTTCTCTTGCAGAACGAGCCTTAAAGCTAAAAGCTGTTAAGCTGGAGAAGGAAGTACAGGATTTGACAGTGAGTCCATTTTTCTTTTCTTGGTGTTTTTTGGGGGGCCATGCCTGGAGTTGCTCAGGGATTATCCCTGGCTCTGTACTTACGAGATGGTGCTCAGAGAACCACCTGGGGTTTGGGGATTGAACCCGGGTCAGCAGCATGCCAGGAAAGCTTCCTGTGTATCCACAGCGCTCCCTCTCTAGCCCAAACAGCAAGTAGATATATTATCTGTTCTTTGCAGTCTCCTGAGTTAAGTGTCCACGAAGAGTTTTACGTCAATTTAAGTTTTTTTCTGCTGGCTCTTTACCCTTCACTTCTTTACTTATTTGCTAGGTAAACCAGACAAATCTGTTGTTTAAAAAATCATTCCCATGGGGCTGGAGCGATAGCACAGCAGTTAGGGCGTTTGCCATGCATACAGCTAACTCGGGTTCGATTCCCAGCATCCCATATGGTCCCCCGAGCACTGCCAGGAGTAATCCATGAGCATCGCTGGGTGTGACCCAAAAAGGAAAAAAAAATAATAAATTTTTTAAAAAAATCATCCCTTCTAGGGGCCAGAGAGATAGTACAGCATGTAAGGTTCTTGCTTCGCACACAGCTGCCTCATTTTTGATCCCCAGCATGCAGAGTGATCCTCTGCATCCCAACAAGAGTAATTCCTGAGTGCAGAGCCAGAAGTAGCCCAAAAGTAGCCAGAACCCCCACGCATCGCCAGGTGTAGGCCAAAAACAAAAATTATTGACTACACTCACCCCTTTTCTGCTACAGCTGGATTATAGTATATCTACATCATCCCATATTTTTGGTGGCTTCATAAGAGGTACAGTTCCTGGCATGTAGTATATGCTTCATGAATAATTGTTACTTTTTTCATTATATTCTGTTGACCAAATTGTGTCTAGCATACTGTCTCCTGTATTGGACTGACAAACATGCTTTGAGAGAGATAACTGGGCAAAAACACTTTTTTTCTCATTATTTTGACTTCGCTTTCCAGATAAAGTACCAGAGAGCTGTAGCTGATGGTGAAAACATCAGAAGGCGAACCCAGAGATGTGTGGAGGATGCCAAGATATTTGGTGAGAGATTTACTGACTTTCGAAGTTTTGGTCGAAGGCCGTTTGCTAACTGTCCTGCAAAGTGAGCATCTTGGTCCTGCCCTTTATACCTGTCTCTGGTCCCTTCGGCCTCGGTGCTGCTGACTAGGCTTTGCATACTTTCAAGTGAACCATTGGCTAAAATAATCCTTGCCTTTATTTTCTCCAAAACTTTGTTGTTTTTATAGCATGTACAGTTCGCATTTTATTACTTATCCACACAATTCTGCTTGTCATTGCTGAGCAAATGAGAAGTTCCTATGTTCAGAGAAGACCCCAGAGAGCAAAGGCAGCCAGGAATGCTGAAGTTTGTTTTGTAGAAGTTTGTCAGAATTGCTCTTCCAACCCTTGTTCTCCTTTGAACACGTATCTTGGTTTCTTGTCTAGGTTTCTTTGCCTGTCTATTTCCACTCTGGAGACCCCTCTGGCCCCTCTGTTCTCTCTTAAATACATTCTTCTCTCTCTCCCATCACATCTAAGGATGTTTCAATAAAAATTATTGTATTTCACCCCCAAAAAAGTAAAAACTGCCTATGTGTTACACAATAATCAGCTGTATTGCCATCAGACAGTTTTCATTCCAGGAGGCAAGAATCATTTGCATTCCTAGCAGCATTCTTTAACCTGCTAAATTATTAAATAACTCAAAGGTTGGGAGCACATAGAAGCAGGTAACCCTGAGGGCTGTGCTAAGTCACTATTTTTGTTGTTATTGTTGATGATGTTAAGTAACCTTTTTAGTCACTTCCAAAGTCTTTCAGGAATTTTTTCCAAGTGTCTTCATGGAAATGTTGACTAATAGGCACTGTGGGGTAAAAGGAAATCTCTGTTTACGTGGTGTGCCCACAGTTTCGTGTGGAGCATCATTCTTTGACTACACATGAATGAGCGGCCCTAGTCCCATCTTCGTTAACGTGTAAATGGAAAAATTAGATTGGAGACAGACCTAGACTGGAGACCATTATTTTCTACCCTCTAATATTCTTTCCTGTATGTCATACTTCTTTCTGCTGTTTGTGAATGGGACTTGCTCTTTCCTAATGCATTGTCATGTTCTTCTGCTTTTCAATCTGTGCTGTAGATACTGTGTTTCAGGGCTTGGAGCTATCAGTTAAGTACTGCCCTGAAGATTTCATTCCTGCTGTTTTAAGATTTTTTTAGTCCATGATTTCCAGAGTGCTTGCCTTGCATGCAGCCGACCTGGGCTCAATCCCACAGAGTCCCCCAAGCCCAACCAGGAATGATCCCCAAGCACAGAGCCAGGAGTGAGCCCAGAGCACCAATGGGTGTACCCCCTCCCCCTCCCCCCACACACAAAGACCCACAAAATAAAAAGGAAGAAGACAAAAAAGGTTTCATGCTCTTAAGTTTTTGTTTGTTTGGGGGCGGCACACCCAGTGGTGCTCAGGTTTTACAGGTAGGGAACAAACATATCAAACTTAATTTTTTTAACATACTTTATTTTCAGAGCAAAATGTATTTTTGAAAAACATGCTGTGTAAGTAATTTTCCTACATCATTGGTTCTTAGTGGACAGGTGTACTTAGAAAATTGAAGAAACTAGAAATCTTTCGAGGGCAATACCATCTATCAACTATCCTCTTTTTTCAGCAGTTTGTCTCGGTATCTGACAAGTTACAGAGATCTCCTCCCTATCCCCAGTAGTACAGACACCAACTACGTTATTAAAATAAATAATTAGATTTTAATCAGAACCCAGAAGATAACTCAGATTATTAGAACACGGGATCCTTTGAGCTCTGTCCGGAGCAGCTCTCCAGCTAGGTGTGGTCCCCAAAATAAAGGAGTCACAATTAGAAACCCCACAAGCCAGAGAACCTAATCTTCTGTTTACCCAAATTCCTACAATACTGAGTAGGAACAGGCTCTTTGCACCCTGGCTTATACAAGTTAGCCCAGAGGTGTCTAGCTATTACAATAGATATCTGTCTTTGAATAGCCTTGGGATGCCTTTGAAGTCCCAAACTGAGCTTTCTCAAACATTTCTTTCTGCCTTATTGACAGGGTGGAATTTTGTCTTGCTGGCATACTTTTCAGGCCTTTGACTAATCTCTTATCATATATTCCCCTAAACCATAATCTCTTGCCCACCATTAACATTGATGGCTGTCATCTCTAATGGGTGTGGCTTAGTTCCTTTGTTGAATTTTGCTGATACCCAGTGGTTCTCTAGAAATGCCTGTGGTTTCACTCTGCCTCCCTTGCCTCCTCTCAGCTGCCAGACCACACATTATACTGAGGCTACTCCAGTTGCCTTACCTGAGTCTCCTCTCCCTTTCCACCCATCTGGAGTCCCTCTAGCATGGCATATCCATTGTGCATGTTGTTATTATTAGACTTACTTGGCGAATAAGTCTGTTACACGTCATTATTACGTTGTTAAACCTGTGGCACTTGCTATGCTTAAGAAACTGTCCGTCTTCCAGGTAGTAAGTCTAGGAAATCTCTTTTATTGCGTCCTTTGTGAGAGTAAGTACATTTCCTTTTCACTTCTGAGAATGCTTAAGATGACTCCTATTTTGTACTTAGCTAAGTATCATAGATGCCTATTGGGGTGACATTCCATAACACTGCTGTAAGAAGAATGTGTGCAGCCTTAGGAGTATTGGCATTCCACGGCAGCAGAGCTGATGTCAGCTGTGCAGCAGTGCTTGTGACTCAAGAAAGTCAGCTCTGCCGGCCTCCTCCCAGCCAACAGCATGTGCTTCTATACAACACAAAGTGGGTAGGACAAGGGGCAGGCAGTGGGAGACTGACCTCATCTAACTTCCCCAGACTCACGCCCACCAGCTGGGTGATTTCCACAGAATAACTGAAAACATCTGGTTTCCCTAGGAATCCAGAGTTTCTGTAAGGACTTGGTGGAGGTGGCCGACCTTCTGGAGAAGACCACAGAGTGCCTCTCTGCAGAAGCAGAGCCTGGGGACCAGAAGCCCACCCTGGAGAAGATCTTCCAAGGCTTGTCCCTTCTAGAAGCAAAGCTGAAGAGCGTATTCGCCAAGCATGGCCTTGAGAAGATGAGCCCCGTGGGCGACAAATACGACCCTCATGAGCACGAACTCATCTCGCACGTGCCCGCTGGCGTTGGTGTGCAGCCTGGCACCGTGGCCTTAGTCAGACAAGATGGCTACAAGCTTCACGGCCGCACCATCAGACTCGCCCAGGTGGAAGTGGCCGTGGAGGCCCAGAAGAGGCTCTGAACGGGCCCTCGGGGGCTGAGTCGGCTCCCAGTGTGCAGTCACCTGTGTTCCCTTTATTTATTAAGCTAGGTTTGTATTGTACATGAGGTACTTCATGTGATCTGTTTTGGATTTAGTCATATTGGCTTGATTTCTACGATAATCTCTTAATTTCCTGGGGCCTGTTTGGTCCCGTCGGATTATTTTGCCATCGGGCATTTGAACAAAGTGGCAAGTGTGTGTATCACCTTTGTCCTACTGCGCTTCAGAAATTAATTTTAAATTGGTACTCTGCTGATTTTTCAGAATCTTTAAGAGGTGAAAATGAGTATAAGCGTATGTATTTTGACCTAATTGTTCCTTCCTAATAATTTCTATAATGAGAATTGAATAGGATCTTGTATCTTGTGGGGAAAAAGAGATGGTAAGGGGTTAGTTCAACATTTGGTACTTGGGTGATGAATCTAAATCTAAATAATGGATTTAGATTATTGTTGATTTTTATATACTAATAGATTTTCAAGGCTTTCTCTCTTTTTTACAAATTACTCTTTGTGGGGTGGGGGCTTCGGTGCCACACCTGGCTGTGCTCAGGGCTTACTTTTGGCTCTGCACTCAGGGATCACTCCAGGCAGTGCTTGGGAGAACCATATAGGGTGCCAAGAATCATACCTGGGTCATCTGCAAGGCAGGCACCCTCCCTCCTTGCTGTACTATCTCTTCAGCTCCATCTCTTAGTGCCTTTTTTTTTTTTGGTTTGTTTTGGTCCCCTAGTCCCTACCAGATAAACTTCTGTCCAGTTCCCATTTATAGGGTCAGACTAGACTTGGAAAGCAGGGAGCAGTAGAAATTTGAGGTATCCAAGTGGCTTTCAAGGATGACTTTGTGCTCTTTGCTGAATTTACGTTCAACTTATTTTCAACCTCCCATTTCTGGTGAATGAGGCACCCCCAATGATCCAGTGATCCAAACCAATCTAGGCTACTTACCAAAGTTTCCTTTTCCCCCAGCCCTGCCATTTAGTCAGATTTCCCTTTTTCCTATTTGATGATGTAAGGAGAGGATTAGAACAAAGGTGTTAGGATCCTATAGTTTCTCATTTAATTCAGTTATGTGGATTTCCATTTTTGATACTCACCAATTACTACCTCTGTTACATAGACAAACTATTTTGTAGTTTTTATAGCGCATGTGTATAAACATCTCACTCCCTTTTTTGCACTTTTAGTTTTTAGTTGTGTTTATTTTTGTTGTTTTTTTTTCTAGTGTTCTGTAAAAGATCTGTCCAATATATGAGTAGGTAGATGAAGTAATCAGACATTAGAAAGGAGGTCAATCATATATGTTTTAATGTAGAAGAGACCTTGGTAATAACCCAACCTTACCCTTTCAGCTTCTTCTGAAGCATGAAAATATATTGTTTTTTAGAATTAGACTAAAAAAAAAACCTCTAAAAATAGCTAAAATTCACTGGGAACTTAAAAGTAAGGAGTAATTACATAGTAGCTTCCATCATTTAAAATTAAACAGTTCTTAAATGAACTTGCAAATATGTTCCCAGCAGACAGAAGATATCCAGGTTGCCTAGGTTTAAGCTTTTAGTTACCCACGAAATAATCTATTTCTAGTGGCACTCTCCAAGCCACATTCAGTAGAGTGGGGAGTCAGCCTTTTGATGCGATATGTAATCCCAAGACAAAACATAGACATCTCTAATGGACCCTACCCTCTGCCAGATTTAGACATTTAATAATCCATGCTTCTAAATTGCAAACAGAAGACTGCCAATAAGATTTTAAAATCATAGCGACTCTTGATACTCTGTTAAGCACTTATGTAAACATATGCAGCCCCTAGACAGTAGGAATTTGTTCCTTTTTTGCTTCATTCCTTTGAGATTAAACAGAAGGCACCAAGAAAATGAGCCATTTATTTACAATTACCCCTGTGTTCTTGGTATACTGTCAGTACCAGTCCATTAGAATAACCATCCTTTAAAAGTGTGAAATATGATTGCTTGAGTTTTCTAATATTCCTTTTTAACTTCTTGTTTTAGGCTGAGAATAATCTTAGATTCTTTCATTATTCAGTCGTTTCGCAGACTTGATATATGAAGATGGAGCTGTAGTAGTAACAGTCTCTAGAACTTGAAAGGCTTTACTGGAACTTGGGCAACCTCAAGGAACATGGAGGTGGAAGGTTATCACATAACCCTGGCGACCAAAAGTTGCACCCCTCAGAGCTTATTTGTTAGGTGGTTAGCATTTTCTCACTGTCTTGTGAAGATTTAATGAAATTTGTAAATTGCATCTTACAATAGGCCCTCAAATGTTTATTTTTATTATATTTTATTTACAGGTTTTTTTTTTCTGTATTTTACTGCTGCCTAAAATTTAGGGGAAGACTGGTAAAGAAAGCGATGCTTAAAATTTCTTAAGCTAATCGGAATGACTAGTTTTCTTTCTGATTTCTGGTGGTTTGGTTTTCACGTAATTCCATAGTTGTTAACAGAAGGAACAAGAAAATTATGTTGGTGCTATTATTTTTATTGTGATTGTTAAGTAAAAAGTCATTGGCTTGGAGATAACATGTAAGAGAGCTTTGGATCTCATGAAGAGGGAATCTTAGTGTCTTAATCCTTGGATCTATAAATCTCACACAGATTTTCCTTGCTGTCATAAAGGAATGTCAGTTTGATACCAAGTTATTTGGTGCTCTTTCATGATACAGGACTTGATATATGAACATTAAAGAAAAAAAAAACCTCAAGGATGAAATAAAATGTTCAGAAACAATAAAACTCAAATTGAAATAATTGGGATTCCTGTTATTCGTGTCTTGGCCTAATTTATATTGGGTTTCCCCAGACTGCTAACCCTACAGATGCCCCATGGAGGTACCTTGATTATCTCTTAATCATCCAGCCAGTGGAATGCAGCATGAGCCAATAATAGTTGTAACCTTTTTGCACCATGCCTATCTACACGCTGACAGTTTTTTTGAAAGCCATTGACATAGATAACAAGCAGTCTCGCCTTGGCTTTGCTGAAGTTGTTCTTAACCCCTTGACATACTCTCGGATTTCTGTATATTTCTCCAATACAAACTCCTGTTTCTGTCTCTCTCTTTGACACTGCCCCGTTTTCTTATATTTGCTTTTTGGTTCTGGTTGTCTTACCTGTTTTAATTACTCTACACCAACTGCTAGACTTTCCTCTTGCCTGTTCTGACCGTCCGCCTTCACCTGTCCTTCCCAGCCTCTGGCAGTTTGCCCTTATCTTCACCTCTCCTGTGCACTTTTCTAGTTTGTCTGCAGACCCTGGTCCCATCACCCATTGCTTCCCACATTCCCTGTGCTTGTAGGTAAATATATTCTTATTCTTCCGCACATTGCCCACATTCTCAAGTGCACTGTGGGATTTATTCTGTTTATTTGGCTTGGTTTGGGGCCTCCTGGTTGTGCTTGAGCATTGCTCCCACCTTGTGCATGGGAATCACTCTGATGACCATGCATGCTGGGGAGCAAACCCAAAGTGACTAGAACCATCTTTCTAGTCCCACTGTGGGAGCTGTAGAACATGACTTCAAATCTCGGACTTTGACCAGCAAAATAAAGAGGAAGCGACTAGCTCACCGAGCTCTGCTGAAGTACAGGTGTACAGGCATGAGTGAGTCTAGTTAAATTTGGGGTTAGTTTGTTGGAGCTGGAGAGAGTACCGGGCTAAGATGCTTGCTTTACATGGGACTGACATTGATTCAATTCCTAGCACTACATATCCCCTGAGCACCACCTGGAATGATTCCTGAGCATCACCAAGTATGACCCCAAACCCAAACTAAACCTTGGGGGTGCATTGTTGTTTAGCAATAGATTGCTTCCACTTACCTAGTTGTTCTCCTTAGCTGTTCTGTACCCTGAGTACTCAGCAGAACATGCCACCTTAGTATTGACCTTAAAGCTCTAGATCTTATCCTGTGATCTGGATATGCTCACACATTGTCAATATGTTGGTAGGACTAAAAGAGCTCATAACTCTTTTGCATGTTATTTAACCTAAAATTAGAGTCAAGGAGTTTAATTTTTTTTTTTTTTTTTTTTTTTTTTTTTTTGCTTTTTGGGTCACACACACCTGGTGATGCACAGGGGTTACTCCTGGCTCTGCACTCAGGATTTACTCGTGGCAGTGCTCAGGGGGCCATATGAGATGCTGGGAATCGAACCCGGGTCGGCCGCGTGCAAGGCAAACCTGCTGTGCCCCAAGGAGTTGAATTTTAAAGTTATAATTTACCCAAAAAAATCCATGGGCCCAGGTATAGCTCAGCAAAAAAGGGAACTGTGAGGTGGGAGAATGCAACCCCCAGCACCACCCACATGCCAGAGTGCTCTCCCAGCAATGCTCCCCTACAGGAACCCTGCTGTGCATCCCTCAGGCATCACAGAAACAAAGGGGTGGAGGATGGGAGGCGGATAAAAGTGTTCAATGTGGGGCTGGAGTGATAGCACAGTGAGTAGGGCATTTCCCTTGCACGCAGCTGACCAGACCCGGGTTCAATTCCCAGCATCCCATATGGTCCCCTGGGCACTGTCAGGAGGAATTCCTGAGTGCAGAGCCAGGAGTAACCCCTGTGCATCGCTAGGTGTGACCCAAAAAGCCAAAAAAAAAAAAAGTGTTTAATGTGCATCTTAAAACCATATTAAGTTGGCACATAAGAAAACTTGGCACAAATTGACCAGTGAATGTGGACTTCTTATAACTGAAAAAATATCCAGGGCTATAGATTTATCTCAGTAGTCTCTCTCTCATCACTTGTAACCAGGATTCACACACTTGCCTGCAGTGTTCACATTTGGATAGGGGTCCACACTCTAAAATACCGCTCAGACACTGCGCCACCCGATACCCTACAGCATAGAAACAATTCAGCTCCACAACTGGCAAAAGAACAAGCTGAATCTTCCCAGGAGGAACCAGTCTGTGGGCTGAAAACTCTGGGGTATTCTCAGAATGGGCATGGGCCAAGTCTCCCAACACAGACCCCACCATCACAACCACCACATGGAAAACCCAGCAGAGAAACAGCCCAGCTCCACAACAAATCTCCAAAAGAACATGATGGAACTAAATCTTGACTGGTCCAAGCTGACAGCTCAGTTCTCAGAATGAGGGTGGGCAGACTGCCCTCTCTGCATGAAGGCACAGCAGCTACAGACACACCCAATACCCTCCAATACAGAAAGAGCCCACCTCCACAACTGAGCCTCATTGAACTGCCAAGCCACCAAACTGTTCCAGATCTATATAGCTCCTGGATGACACCTCTAATTGCATGGTACCATTAGCTTTCACAGCTGTGCGACACATTATAAGACACTCCCTACACCATATTTGATGGGGTTCAGACAGTTGGCAACAAATCATAGAGGGAAATAAATATATATGCCTCTCGGAGAGCCCAGCAAACTACCGAGAGTATCCCACCTGCATGGCAGAGCCTGGCCAGCTACCCGTGGCATATTTGATATGCCAAAAACAGTAACAATAACGGGTCTCATTCCCCTGACCCTGAAAGAGCTCCAATACAGCAGCTTTGGGAAAGGCGAGTAAGGAGAGGCTGCTAAAATCTCAGGGCTGGGATGAATGGGGATGTTACTGGTGCCCACTCAAGTAAATCAATGAACAATGGGATGACACTGATACAATGATACAGTTAGCCCAGTAAGATCACAGCAAATCTGATGGGAAAGTTGCATAGAAGCCCACCAAGTTCACTGGTCCTAAATAACACATGCTCAACCAGAATCAACCAGGACAACATTTCCTCCAAAAATAATTCTAGCAGCACCATTGTGAGATGTCATAATAAGCACAAATTGACTCATTGATCTCAGTTTTGATTATTCCATCTGCCTTTGTGTTATAACATTCGATATAAAATAAGTTTGTGCCTACTAGGGGGAAAGCTGGGGTGGTGGCTAGGAAACTGGGGACATTAGTGGAGGAAAGGTCACACTGTTGGGATTGGTGTTGGGACATTTAATGCCTGAAACAACTGCATTTTGAACCAGTTGGTAAACCATGATGTTAAAATTAAAACACAGGATGGAATGATAGTACAGTGGGTAGGGCATTTGCCTTGCATGTGGCCAACCCGGCTTCAATTCCCAGCATCCCATATGGCCCCCCAAGCACCACTAGGAGTAATTCCTGAGTGCTGAGCCAGGAGTAACTTTGTGCATCGCTGTTTGTGACCCAAAAAGAAAAAAATAATAATAATAAAATAATTAAAAATAAAAAAAATAAAACACTGCTCAAAGCACTTGGGGATTTCTGGGCCCAGACCTGAGGGTTTGGCACTGCCAAGGGGGTTGGACCGGAGTTGGCTGCATGCAAGGCATGAGCCTCAATCCTGCCCTGTTGTATCTCTCCAGCCTGAGCATATTTTTGTTGTGGTTTTTCAGGGGGTCGCACTTTTATTCCTGTGCTCAAATAAAATTGGTCGACATGTGCTGGAAAGCACAAATGGCCAGAGGATCACCCTCAGTCTGTGGGATGCTGTTGGGCTCTGGCTCTTGGCCTCAGGTCTGCAATGACAGGTGCTGCCCTACCACTGAAGGGGAGTTTCATTTTTTCATTTAAGAGAGTGTTGGGGCCCAACTAGACCATCAGGATGAGCCCATGGAGACTGACCCGCACACGGGCAGGACAATAGGACCCATGAAACTGGGCAAGCTATGACTAGTGTGTCCAGACTGGTTTGGATAGAGTTAAACATCTCTTTCTTTAAGCTGCCTTCAGTAAATAGCCTAAATTTTAGTATAACAAAAAATATAACAAAAAATAGCCTAAATCTTAGTATAATAAAAACTATAACAAAAAATTCCTCTTCTCACAGATCCCAGACCCAGCTGTCTTTGATATTCAGACCCTATGTGCTTGAGTTTGTAACTTGCAGAGCAGGAAGGCTTGACTTTGCATTTCTTTCCCTGGGGGTTGAAACTAATTGACTTGGGGACATAAGGAAACAATGTATGCCTTAATGCCTCAATGTTCTTCCTGTAACTTCTTTATTGATGACATCACTGTATCAAGCCCTTTAGAGGTCTTTACGGTAGGATAGTAAATAAAGGGAGATCTCAGGATGTTCTTACCTTTGTCACAGGATCTGAGCAAATCGGGACTCTCAGTGAAAAATAATTTCTCTGGGCCTCTGACTGAATGAATATTCACACAACAAGGGAGGAACTGGGAATGCAGCTCAGTGGTAAAGCATATGTCTCACATGTATGAGGCTCTGGATTCAATCCCTGGAACCACAAAATTAATGTTTGAGAGGTTAAAATAATGTTTTTACTTCAGACCCTGTGTGTACACCCGCTGCACCAGATGGTCTTCATGAAATTCATCCTGTTGGTCACCTCAGACTGCAGCAAAACCCACAAATTCCACTTCAATACCTCTTCACATGTGTGTCAGACTATGTTGTCTCTTCTGTCCAAGGAGCTGTGGCAGAAATAAAATCTGCTACAGGCCCACCTACGAGGATGATGAGGTCCGGGTGGTTCAAGAACACAACAAAGGCCGCCAACAAATTGGAAAGGCAGTTCAGGTGTACAGAAAGAAATATGTCATCTACATTGACTGGGTGCATCAGGAAAAAGCTAAAGGCTACAACTGTTCCATGTGGGTATTGGCCCCAGCAAGGTGGTTATCACCAGGCTAAAACTGGACAGTGATCAGAAAAAAAACACTGTCCTCCCGTTGTTCATCGATTTGCTCAAGTGGGCCCAGTAACGTCTCTATTTTGAGACTTGTTACTGTGTTTGGCATATACGTCATGGGTAGCTTGCCAGGCTTTGCCATGAGGGCGAGATACTCTCGGAAGCTTGCCGGGCTCTCCGAGAGGGGCGGAGGAATGGAACCTGGCTGCACGCAAGGCAAACATCCTACCGCTGTGCTATCGCTCCAGCCCTAATCAGAACAGAAAAAAAAAAAAGAATTACTGAACGCAAACACAGGTCTCAACAAGTTGGAAAAAGAAGGTAAATATAAGGAAGAACTTACTGAGAAAATGTGGGAATGAGCATAGCTATTGTGCAGCAATCGCTTAATTAGATTTTCAGTCTGGTGTATATTTGAACCTTTTCAAGATGTATCTGAAACATTGTACTTCCTGTTTTGATGCTGATGTGTCTCTGTAAATTTGACTTTTGTTCATCTCATGAATTTTATAAATAAAACGTTGGACTCTTCCCTTAAAAACTGTTTTAAGATGGAAAAATGCATATGTATTCATCTGCCAGTTTGAGCAACGAGTTTTAAGCCCTGTTAAATTTAGACAGCTGACTTAGAACTTTGCTCGAGCAGGCCCAGTAACGTCTCCATTGGAGACTTTGTTGTTACTGTGTCTGGCATATCGAATACTCTCGGTAGCTTGCCGGGCTCTCCGAGAGGGGCGGAGGAATCGAACTCGGGTCGGCCATGTTGGCCGCTTGTAAGGCAAACGCCCTACCCGCTGTGCTATCGCTCCAGAGTATTCGATATGCCAGACACAGTAACAACAAAGTCTCCAATGGAGACGTTACTGGGCCCGCTCGACTTAGAACTTTAGTGATATACTTTTACTGTTCTCAGTTAATCAGTGTCTCCTCATAGCTATAATCTGACTCAGTGGCTATAGGTTTGATTTATTCTAAAATGCATCCTCAATTTTATTTTTTGCTAGAGGAAATCTGTCCTTCACAGTAAGACAAAGTACCCACGCTGGGTTGTTCTTATTTCCTTAGGGTGAAAAAGGAGCGTTTTCCCTTCTTGCCTGCCTTCTGAGGAGAGCTCATTTGCTTTGTAAGCAGAGATATAAAATAGGAACTACTTTGCTTTGTAAGCAGAGATATAAAATAGGAACTACAGGAGTAACAGCAGTTCCCATAGCATCCAGCCTGGTTCAGTATATGCATGGGTAGTGTCTAGTCACCCTGCCTGTGTGTTTAGCAACTTCCAGCACTTGCAGGCATTGCCAAGTGATTTCACATCCCTTGTCATTGTCACAACCAGGCAGAGCCTGGAAAAGAACATGGGACATAGATAAAACACTGCAGAGCTAGTAACTCCCAGGCCTTCTACTCAGGTCTTCAATACTTAAGTTCTTACCGTCATTTCTCAGGCAGCTGGATTCCGGTCCTGATGCTGAGCTACTGAAGCTCGCACACCTGCGCGTCAGAAGTCAGAGCCAACCAATGAGAAGCCAACCTGCAACAGGAGGCGGGATAAGGACGGCGACCAATAGCAGGGCCTGCCCCTGGAGCGCTGTAGCCAATGAGGGCTTCTTGCTGGCGGAGGAGCGGCGCGCCGTCCAATGAGCGGCTGGGACGGTCGAGCCTGGAAGGCGGAAGGGCCAGTGGGGTGCCGGGGCGGGCCGGGAGCCCCGCGCAGCCCGCGCGCGCCCGAGCCGGCGTGCAGCCTGCTTCCCGCCCGCCATGGCCCGCGCCACCCGGCTGCTGGCCGTCCTGGCCTCACTGCTCGCCGCCGCTGCTCCGAGCGGAGACACCCGGCCCAACAAAATCGGTGCGGGAAAGACGGAGCGGGGGTAGTGGGAGGCCGGTCGAGGACGGGTCCCGGGGAGAGGGAGCTGGTGCACAAGAGGGGTGCAGCACTGGCCTGACGCTCCGAGACTGGACACAGACGGTGCAGAAGCGCGGATGGCATATGCATGTGTCCAGGGGGGCTACTTGGCGCGGAAAGGGGGCTCTGGACGGGACGGGGCACGGAGCTCAAGGGAAGGCCCAGGGACATTGAGCCGCCACGATGGATCTTGCATTTTGCCAATGCCAAAGACAGGGCCTGCCTGGGCGATGTCTCTTAACAAAGGTTTGGTCAGGGCGCCCGTGCGGCGGGCACAGTGTTCACACCTTCGAATGTAGAGGAAGAGAACCGGCATAGCCCAGGGCAGCCGGTGCCAAAGCCGAGCGCCTGGACAACGCGGGGAGGGTACTTCACAGCCTGGGTGAACGGGGAGCGTAGGAGTCCGTCATCCGGGAGAACAGGAGACTTGGCCAGATGAGAGTGGGCATTTTCATCAGTAGTCATGTTGTTTGTTTCTTTGTTTCTTTTTTTCTAATACTTTGTCTCTGAATAGTTCATCCGCCAAAAGTTGAAAGAAATATTCAGGGATGCTCTGCATATCCATCGCCTAGGTTGTGCTTTAAAAAAAACTGCTAAGATCTATTAAAAATCCTTTGGCCTGGCTTACATTTTAATGTATTCAAAGTAAATTTCAAGCATGGAACACTGCTAAGTACTGGATTGTGCATACAATTCATTGGAGTTCCATATTCATTTACCACTGCTTTCCATCTTAACAATTGTTCTTTTTGGGCCAGAGAGATAGTAACAGCAGGTAAGGTGTTTTCTTTGCACGCAACTAACCTGGCTTGTATCCCTTGTACCCTGTATGGTGGTAGGCAAGGAAGGGTGTCCTGTGGGTGCACCCCAAGTCATTGGAGCCAGTGCAGTGCTAAGTCTCCTTGTCATAAGGATTAAAACGGACTCAAACATGCCAGAAACCAGCTTGGAGCTGAGAGCTTAGGGTTTCCAGATTCCTGGCAAGAGGGGCCAGAAAAGGCCTATAGAAAAGGTGGGCTTTGAGCCAGGATTTGACGGGTGGGAAGAGTTTGGCCAGCAGAGCTGGACACTGACCTCTGGCTAAGGGGCATGGCCTTCTCCTGTCCACACTGAGCTTGTGGACTCATCTCACTCCAGGGCTCTCTATGTTGACAGTGCCAGGCTGCCCCGTAGTTTTCCTAAGTTTCCAGGCCCAGTGACCAGCTTCTGTGCACCCTCACTGGTTTGGATCCCACCCACAATGCCAAGGAGGAGCTTCCTGCTCCTGAGTATGCTGCAAGGTCAAATCTGTAACCCTCAGGGGGGCGCTGGATCCTTTAAACCGCCACAGTCCCACCTACTGCCCCCTTAGTGCTGTTTTCTCTCTGCTGGAGAATGTTTCTACTTCCTGCCAAAGCTGATTGTCCTTCTGGGTCCAGACCAAAGAATTGTTTCTCTATACCTATAGGCAAAGTCCACTGCTTTCTACTTGGACACTGGTCATGGCTCACTGTGCGAGTGTCTGCCCACTCTCTCCGGGGGCTCAGGGCGACAGAACCCCTGTTGGATTCCTCCTGAGCCCCAGCATATCTAACCAGAAAGGGGCTCTGGGTTATGTATGTGGAGTGATGCATCCTGCTCTCCACTAGCTTTTTTTTTCCTTCAGATCACACCCGGAGATGCACAGGGGTTACTCCTGGCTCTGTGCTCAGGAATTACTCCTGGCGGTGCTCAAGGGACCATATGGAATGCTGGGAATTGAACCTGGGTCAGCCGTGTGCAAGGCAAACGCCCTACCCACTGTACTATCGCTCCAACCCCTCTCCACTAGCTCTTGGCAGCCTTCCATGTCAGTTTCTCTCAGTGTCTCCAGAAAAAGGGTATGGGAATGGGGGGAAGCTTGTCACAAATGGAAAGGGAGAGAACACATTGGTTTACAGGTTACAGGCTCCCTAGAAAGTGTTTTTTTTTTTTTCTTTTCAACATGCAACAAAGAGTGAATCCCAATTTTACCTACCAGGCTTTGGGGTCAAAAGCTCTTGTTCCTTAAACCCACCCTTGGAGGGGAACAAGCTCAGGTCTGCACCAGGGGTAAGAAAGGTCCAAGGGACTGGGGGAGGGGTTGCCCTGAGGTCGACGGGGCAAATGCAGCTAAAATGGCATCAGGGGCCAACAGAGCCAGGGAGATGGGAGGCACAGAGAGTTTTCCTGACAAAGGAGCTGCAGGCAAAAGTGTGAAAGCACACATTTTGTGTGTCCATCACCACAGAGGTGAGACGGGCAGGACGCTGGAGTATGGGAACAGAGTGATGGACAGAGCTAGAGTGTCGGGACCCAGTGTTCCTGTAGGACAAACGAGAGTTGGGGAGAGGAAGGCTATCAGGAAGGCTGTCTCGGGTGGCTGAGGGGAGAGGAGGTGGGAAGCTGGGACCTGGGTGGTCCAGTAACTCTCATAGCGCTTAGTCATGACCTGTGGACAGGGGTCATGACATCTCAGAACTTTTTCTGCCCTGGAAAAAGTTTTTATCTGTGTCCTGGATGAGATACTAGTGGCATGAGTCGAGACGCCAAGTTAACAGGAAGGCAGGAGGCAGGATTAGAAACTGGTTGAGATAATTTGGGAATTTGGCAAGCTGCAATTTTTTTTTTTTCTTTTTGGATCACACCTGACAATGCACAGGGGTTACTCCTGGCTCATGCACTCAGGAATTACTCCTGGCAGTGCTCAGGGGACATATGAGATGCTGGGAATCAGATCCAGGTCGGCTATGTGCAAGGCATACGTCCTACTTGCTGTGCCATCGCTCCAGCCCCAAGCTGCGATTTCTTAACCAGAGTCTGGGTTAGAAAGGGACAACCTTCTTGAGAAGGAGCCACCGGCCACGGGTGCGTTCCAATCTTGGCAGACACAGAGATGTAAATAACTGAAGTGGTAGATTGAACCAGATCCGGGAGGGACGGACTTCGCTTAAGGACCAGAAAGTAAATATTGGAGGCTTTTCGGCCATACTGGCTGTCACAGTTGCTCTGCTACACGAAGCTTGAGTAAACTAAAAAAAAACACCAGTGTGGCTAATAAAGCTCAGTTTGCAAAAATAGGCATCCACCTCGATTTGGCCCAGACTGGGTAAGGAGTAGTTTCCAGCAATCATCCACCTCACAGCGGTGATTAGGGACCAGCTTTGCACCAACTCATAGTGAAATAAAAGTAGAAGCCACCCAAGGACCAGGGAGCTGGCCTGGGGGTCAAAGTGCATGCATGACGCCCTGGTTTGATTTCCAGAACAGTGGCTCCCCTCACGCTGTCAGGTGGAACTCTGGTGGCCCCCAAGCTCCACTAGGGTAACCCTAGTGGACTCCAGACTACAGTGCCCGTGCATTGAACCATGCAGCCTGGTTGGCCAAGTGTCACCACGAAAGACTCCCAAAAGGGAAGAGAAACCAGTTCAATCAAACCGAATTCATTCTTCCGTAGCATCCTGAATCTTGAAGTTCTTTCTCTTGTGCTGCTAACATTGTTTTTATGAAAAAATGGATTATGGGAGGTGGCACTTCCTGGGCGGGTCTTTGCTCCTGATTAACAAATACACTGAATGCAGATGTTCCACGTGGGGGTCTGCACGGAGGGGTCCTTGGTGCCCCCTCTCACTGCGTCCTCTGTCTCTCTCCCTGCTGTCAGCCGTTGTTGGTGCCGGAATCGGGGGCTCTGCCGTGGCCCATTTCCTCCAGCAGCATTTTGGGCCCCGAGTGCAGATCGATGTGTATGAGAAGGGGACAGTGGGCGGCCGCCTGGCTACCATCTCTGTCAACAAGCAGCACTACGAGAGCGGAGCGGCCTCCTTCCACTCCCTCAGCCTGCACACACAGAACTTCGTCAAGCTGCTGGGTGAGTGCTGTGGGGGGTGCGGGGGGGGGGGGGGGCAGCCCCACCGCCCCAAGTGGACTGCAGCCAGTGGGCCCTTCCCAGGTTCCCCTATGGTCCAGGCCAGAAGGTCACGGAGCCCCATCTCCCTCATTTTACAGATGGAGCAACTGAGACCAGAGAGGGGAAGGAACTTGCCTGAGGTCACACAGTGAGTTAGTAGCAGAGTCCCTGTTAGAACTCAAGAGTTTGGGGCTTGTTTTAGTGTGTGTTTGTTTGTTTTTTCCCCTTGGCTTTTTGGGCCATACCTGGCGGTGCTCAGGGCTTACTCCTGGCTCTGCGATTCACTCCTGGCAGTGCTCAGGGACCATATGAGGTACAGCCATATACAGTGCAAATGCCTACTGGCTGTGCTATTGTTCTGACCCTAGAACAAAGGTTTGACTCCCAGATAAGTCTGCTTCTTCGTGGCCAGGGTCACGGTGGCACCCACAGGTGGCACCCACGGGTCCTTGCCCCGGCTGAGGTGCTATTCAGGCATTACCTTGGTTCCTCCCTACCAGCCTCCCAGATGGCTGTTTGCTCTCCTGGGGAAACTGAGGTTCAGAAGCTGCATATACCTCAGCTGACGCCACATGCCAGGGAGCTGGGGTTTAGTTCCGGCAGCATCTGTCGCCACCAAAATAACCCCTCAGGAATGTTCCTGTTGCTGGTGGCCAAGTGTCCCCATGAGGGCACAGAGCACATCCCACCTGCCCGCCACAGGTGCCAGAGGGGAAATCCTTTCTGTCCTGTGGCTTTCTAGTAGTTTGCAGCCAGAATGAGCAAGTCCTGTGTGGAGCACAGCCTCCAAGACTTGGAGGTGGCAGGTGCTGATGGGGCGCAGTGGGGGGCAGAGGAGGAAGTGGTCGCCCTTGTCCCAACACCTCTGGAAAGATGCTGCAGGTGGGGGGAGATCCTGGCTGCTCCAGGGAAGCTCAGTGCCCCTCCCCCCCCCCCCCCCCAGGGGAAGAAGCCCAGAGTGGTATCTCCAGACAGGTCCTCTAATCCCTCAGCCATTGTCCCCACGCCTGGAACAGTGTTTTTCACCTGCCCCCTCCTGAACTGAGCTCCAAGAAGATGACTTGAGATGCACAAGCCCCGGCACTTGGGGGTTGTACAGAGCTGTGCCCAGGAGGAGCCAGTGAGGTGGTTGGGAGCTGGTGGTATGTCTCGGCTCAGGATAAGCCTTGTGCTTGTGGGCCTCTAGACCTTTCTGGGCTGACCTTTGAATTACCCTCACAGGGCGCAAGGGGATCCCCACTGAATCAGAAAAGTGCCTTGCTTTTCATTTTGTCTGGTGACCAAGGCCAGGCCTGCCCCTGTTTACAGTGCAGAGGGTTGGGGGAAAGGGTGTTCCTTAAGAGAGCCGCCCACTGGCCTCCCTGTGGAGGGCTGAGGTCTCCACTGCAGGCGCTGCCCATCCTCCCGAGGGGCCGTTAGGAGGGACCTGAGGGCCCCCCTTGTCTCCTCAGGGCTGAGGCACCGGCGGGAGGTGGTGGGCAGGAGCGCCATCTTCGGCGGGGAGCAGTTCGTGCTGGAGGAGACCGACTGGTACCTGCTGAACCTCTTCCGCCTCTGGTGGCACTACGGCATCAGCTTCCTGCGGCTGCAGATGTGGGTGGAGGAGGTCATGGAGAAGTTCATGAGGTAGGGCTGGCAGGGCGGGGCAGGGAGGGGGGCAGGAACCTGCAGGACGCAGCGTGGTGGAGAGGGACGGCGGCTCACTGGCCTGTGTGTGGACCCGGCCCTGCGCCCCACTGAGGGGGAGGCTCTGTGGTCTCTGGGGGCCGTCTGTGCTGTTGCTGCGTCAGGGTTCCCTTCCCCACAGCAGCCCGATTCATAACACCATGACTTGCCAAGTCAGCCACCTGCAAGGCCCACCTGGGAATAGGAGTGACGCGACAGCTTGGGCAGGTGGTGAAGGAGAAGGAGCCAGGGCAAGAGCCAGATGTGTCTAAAGTGGACGGTCAGGGGGCTGGAGCCATAGAACAGCGGGTTGTGTATTTGCCTTGCACACCGCCGACCTGGATTTGATTCCCAGCATCCCATATGGTCCCCTGAGCACCACCAGGAGTAATTCCTGAGTGCATGAGCCAGGAGTAACCTCTGTGCATCACGGGGTGTGACCCAAAAAGCTAATAATAATAATAATAAAGTGGCCTTGGCAGGAGCCTGCCGTGGCCCTGTGGGAGTGGCTCAGTCTCCCAAACTCCCCCATCGAGTTAGGAATGCAGAGTGATACGTGACAGCTCCCCACTCTGCCAAGTGTGCAGCCTTGCAAACTAACAAACCCAGGTGGCTGGTGGGCCGCACTCCACTTCCTCACGTCGTCACCACTTCCGGAGTGCCGACCCCATCCCTGTGTCCAGGACGACAGCCCCTCGGACACCCCCGGGGACTGAGCACCTGCTGTTCCCACCCATGTAGAGGCTGTGACTGGCTCCAGATGGGCCATCCAGACCTTCTGCCTTTCGCTGGGTCCAGGCTGCTCCCCTGGTGAGGCTCTTGATGGCATTCCTCTCCCGGATATGCTCCTGGCATCCCCATCTCCCCCCCCCCCCCCCCCCGCCCCCGAGTTCACGTCCTACCCGCTTTCTTTCTCCCTTGTCAGTTTTGTTCAAACTTACAGCATCACCTGCGTTCTCCATTTTCTGGGAGACGGTGAGCACTCGGCAGCCCCAGTCTCCCCAGAGGTGACGACCCACATTTCTCACTGCTGCCTAGATACCTCCACCTGGGTGTCTGTCCCCCTGGGACAGCCGGGCTCCACACATCTGCACAGCCACCCAGGCAGCGGCAGCCTGTCAGAAGGTGGAAGCAGTGTCCTGAGGCCCTGGCGCCAGAGCCAAGGGTGCAGGAAGGTGGGCCTGGCTGTGCAGATACCTGAGAGGGCCGTTCCTTGAGAGGCAGCGCCGTCCATGGTGATGGCAGAACCTCCAGGGGCCAGTTTAGCGGGATCCCGGAGTTCTTTGTGCGTGGGGCGAGGGCAGGAAGCCCACCGTGGTGGGTGACCCACACCAAGGTTCTGCCCGCCTGTTCCCCAGGATCTATAAGTACCAGGCCCATGGCTACGCCTTCTCGGGTGTGGAAGAGCTGCTCCACTCACTCGGGGAATCCTTCGTCAACATGACCCAGCGCTCCGTGGCCGAGTCCCTGCTCCAGGTGGGCGTCACGCAGCGCTTCATCGATGACGTGGTCTCGGCCGTCCTGCGGGCCAGCTACGGCCAATCAGCAGCGATGCCCGCCTTCGCCGGTGAGCCTTGCTTGGCCCAAGGACCCACAGCCCTTGTTCTCAGGCTCATGCCTCTGGCCCCAGCCTGCCAAGCTGCTAGGAGAAGGGAGTCATCCCCCTCCCAGCTGGGGAAGGAGGTCCTGGCCTCTGTCCTGTCTGAGTAGACTGAGTAGTCACCACACAGGCAAGTGGGCACATGCACCTATCCCACCAGCACAGCCCACATGGTGGTCCCACCAGCTCTACCTAGGAGAGGACTTCGGCACACCCTGTCAGTAAACTCAGGACGTGATGGCATCTGACCTCCCTCCCTCAGACCCATCTGAGGGCCTCTTCCCCGCTCACACTTTGTGCATCTTCAGTCTGAGGCATGCATGTCCCAGGTGTGGAGCCAGCTTCCCAACCTAGAACCACAGCCCCTGATCTAGCGAGGGGTAGATCAGTTCCCTAGCGAGGGCTGCAGGTCCTGATCTAGTACCATGGCTCCCAATCTAGAACCACGGCTCCTGATCAAGAACCACGGCTCCTGATCAAGAACCACAGCTCCCAAGCTAGGACCGCGGCTCCTAATCTGGAACTGTGGCTCCTTATCTAGAGCTGGCGCTCCCAATCTAGAGCTACTGCTCCCATTTCAGCTGCCACCTGCTGGAGGGCTCATAGGTGCCTCCAACTCTTTCTCACCTGGGCACTTCCCAGGTCATCCCCCACTCCCAACAGAAAGTCATCCTTCCACTTGCCCCCACCCAAGCCTTCATGTTCTTCCTCATGTTTTAACCTGCTTCACTGCCCTCACCCAGTCAGTGTGCTGGCTTCCCCCAGCAGCTGCTCCCTGGTCAGCCTCCCCAGCATCCTTTGGTCCTTCGAGAGTCTCCTTCCTGTCCCTCCTGCCCCCGTCAGGCCCTTCTCAAAGCCTGATGCCTTTAAACTAGATCCCACCAGGCTTGTGTGTCAGACTATTGGGGCCCACCTTTCCCTCTCCCCCCCCCCATCTGCCTGCTGGCTGCAGCCCTGTTCCAGACCCCTTGTGGCCCTGGCTGTGTTTGTAGGCCCCCTCGGCACCCCACGGCCCAGTGCGTCCTCCCCAGGCACGGCCCGTGCCAACCCTCACTCCCCAGGCTGATGCAGCAGCACAGCAGGAGGGAGGCCTTGGGAAGATGGGGCTGGACACCGTAAGCCCACCGGCCATTCTCCCTTCTCTGCCCAGGAGCCATGTCTCTAGCCGGGGCCCAAGGCAGCCTGTGGTCTGTGGAAGGCGGCAACAAACTGGTTTGTTCCGGCCTGCTGAGGCTCACCAAAGCCAGGGTGATCCATGCCAGAGTGACCTCGGTGACCCTGCAGAGTTCCGGTGAGTGAGCCCTACCCTCCAAGGCTTTGGGCCCTCCGCTGCCTTTCTGGACGCCTCCCGAAGTCAGTGGGAAGCCCCGCACCACCCGGCCACACTAGGGGGCACTGTTGTCCACTACAGTGTCAGTGCCAGGCCACTGGGACGGCAGCCAGGACTCGGAGCCTCAGTCCTGGCAGCCCCCAGGGCCTGTGGGGTGGACTGCAGAGTACAGACCCCCAGCCCCGGGCCCAGAGTCCTCCAGACCCAACAGGAGTGCTCTAGCTCGACATAGCCCCCCCAGGATCCCTTCATGTGGGGCTGCAGGGGACCCAGAAGTCATGTTCTCCTCTCCCCCCAGAAGGGAAGGCCTCATACCAGGTAGAATATGAGAGCGAGGAGGGCAGAGGCACCGACGTGTACGACATCGTGGTCATCGCCACCCCTCTGCCCCTGACCAACGGCAGCGACTCCCTGGCCTTCCACGGTTTCCACCCACCCCTGCGCATTGCCCAGGGCCCATTCCAGCCCACCGTCGTCTCCCTGGTCCACGGCTACCTCAACTCTTCCTACTTCGGTTTCCCCGACCCCAAGCTCTTCCCCTTCGCCAGCGTCCTGACCACAGACTTCCCCAACTTCTTCTGCGTGCTGGACAACATCTGCCCGGTCAACGTGTCAGCCAGCTTCCGGCGCAAGCAGCCGCAGGAGGCCGCCGTCTGGCGCGTGCAGTCCCCCACGCCCCTGTCGCGGAGCCAGCTCAAGACCCTCTTCCGTTCCTATTACTCGGTGCAGACAGCCGAGTGGCAGGCGCACCCCCGCTACGGTGCCTACCCGGCCCTCCCGCGCTTCCAGCTCCACGATCAGCTCTTCTACCTCAACGCCCTGGAGTGGGCCGCCAGCTCTGTGGAGGTGATGGCCGTCGCAGCCAAGAACGTAGCCCTGCTGGCCTTCAACCACTGGTACCAGGACCTGGACAAGATTGACCAGAAGGACTTGATGCACAAAGTCAAGACTGAGCTGTGAGGGCCTCTGAGAACCAGATGCCTTTCCCTCCCTCGGGCGACTTGCCCACTCCAGCCACTGATGGGCAAGGCCGCCCGTTCCTGCCCGTGCCCACCCAGCCTCGGACGCCTCGTGGCAGAGCACTCCCCCTTTGGGTGGCTTCTATGCCTCCGTCTTAAGGATCCTTGGCAGTATAAGCTCTCTGAGGAGGATAGCAAGAGAAAGGGAGCACAAACCAGTGTGTTCATTTTATTTATTTTCTTTTATAAAAGAAGAAATAAAAATATGTCTCAAGCTGTTTCTGGCTTGCTTTTCTATTTTTTTATTTTTTGATTTTGGGGCCGCGCCTGGCAATGCCCGGGAGCTGTACCAGGCTCTGTGCTCAGGAGTGATCCCTGGCAGTGCCAAGGGTGGTGCCAGGGATTTGAACGGGGGGGGGGGGCTTTAATCCCTGTTCTCTCTCTCTCTCTCTCTCTCTCTCTCTCTCTCTCTCTCTCTCTCTCTCTCTCTCTCTCTCTCTCTCTCTCCAGCCCCAAAGCTTGCTGTCCTAACTAACCCGAGGCAGAGAGAGCTGAACGTGGTGTCTCGTTTTTCATGGCCTACTCCCAACGGGAAACATTTAGACATGGATGGTGACAGTCAGATAAGTCAAAGGGAAGACCAAGAACCATGAGTGAGACTCATAGCACATCCTCAGCCCTCTCCAGCACTGCCCCAGCGCCAGGATGCACTGTCCTCCGCAGAGGAACGGGACAGATGGACTTCAGCCCAGAGTAGTGAGACATGCATGTCCCACTCAAGCGTGTGGGGCCAGGGGAAAGCTGACAGGCAGCAAATATTGTGACTCTCCTTGCAGGATCTGCCCTAGGGCCAGCCAGCTCATCTCTGCAGAAGCCCCAGAGAGAAGAAACCCCAGTGAGGACTAGAGAAATAGATCAGTGGGCAATCTCCGACGCCCCTTAGGGTCCCCAGCCCCACAAGGAGTGATCCCGGAGTGCAGAGCCAGACATAATCCCTGGGCATTACCAGGTATGGCCCCCAAACAGCGTGGCCAGCCCACAATGAGGAGCTGATCCTCCAGGGCCCCTGGTGAGCAGAGCTTCAGCATGGGGCCGTTAAACTCGAGAGCAATCATGGGGTAAAATGCCCTCCTGGGAGGCGGAGGCCTTTATCAGTGTTGAGCTGTTTTATACTATACCAAGGGTATCTGGAAAGGGCGGTGGGGATGGAGTGCCAGGGTTCGGGACAGGCACTTGTTGATTTGGGAAGAATAATGAGACTGCCACTCTTGGTTGAAGTAGCAGAAAGTCAAACTAGCATATGTGATAGAGAGTGTTTTGTACTGGTTGCTGTGAAGGTCAGGCTCCGCACCATTCCCACGCGGTTACGTTCTCAGGGCCAAGCATCCGCTAGCAGTCCTGGATAAGACCGTCTCCCCACCCACCCCACTGGACACAAGTCTGGGCTCCTGGGTCTGCTGGGACCCTGGCACTGCAGCCAACTAGTCTGGGGCCCCTCCCTGCAGTCCCCGGGCCAGGAACAAGGCCAGACACCAGAAAAACACTCAGCGCCCCTCTAGAAATCTAGCCCTTTTTTGGTTTGCTTTCATTTTTATTTTTGTCTTTTTATTTTTATTTTGTCATCTGGTGATGCTCAGGGGTCACTCCTGGTTCTGCGCTCAGGAATTCCTCCTGGTGATATGTGGGGGACCTACGGGCTGCCGGGGATCGAACCGAGGTGGACTGTGTGTAAGGCAAATGCCCTAACCACTGCACTTTCTCTCCACCCGGTCCAGATGTCTAATCTGCCTTCTTCAAGGGAATAATAGAAGGCACCTCCGCCCCTCTTTATCCGATGCTACGACTGCCTCCTGAATTGTGCCAGCACCCCTGGGGCAGAATCACCCATGTGGAAAACACTGATCCCAAATCATCAGGGCCACCCTGGAGCAGAGGAGGGTTGGAGGAAACAGGAGAAAGACAAAGGGTCACTCCCGCAGGGACGGGCCCCTCCCTCCCAACCCCAGTGAAACCCATGCATGATGGCATTTCCCTGCAGTCTGTGGAGATGGTCTGGGCAGCCTCAGCCCTGATCATAGGTGACATTGAGTCAGAGGGACACTTCCTGGGTCTCAGTGGAGGAAGAATGGCCCAGGGCAGCCCGGCCTGGCTGCAGTGCTGAGACGGACCTGATGACACCTGCAATCAGTCCTGAACCCACTGTCTGCTCCCCAGGAAGAGGCAGCAGAGATCCTGGGGGCCACGGGGAGCCTTTGCTCAGCGCCTTCCTGTCCAGAGGCTCTCAGCCCTCTGAGAGAAGAGCACACATTTGCAAAGATAGGGTGTGTGCTATGATCCCCCAAACTCGGGCCCTGTGCCTCCAAGGCCCTTCCCCTGCACTGTTGCTGATGTTAAGAACCCTTACATCACCACTGAGGTACCAGCAGTGATTTAACCCTAACTGCTTAAATTTTTAAAATGTGTTTAAAGGTAAATTTCTTTGTGATACATTGCAGTAAATGTTTGATGAGTGAACCACTTTCAATTTTGGGTGATGCCTCACGGTGCCTCGGAGCTACTCTTGGCTTCGTGCTCAGGGGTGTTCCTAGTGGGATTTGGGGAACAGTGGTGCTGGGGGGGTAGAATCCAGGGCTTCTGTATTCGTGGTCTGGACTTCAGAGATTGAACTAGAGTCAGTTGCATGTAAGGCAAGTGCCTTAACCACTGTACTATCTCTCTGGCCCCCGCAAATCTATGTTATGTCCTTGAATACCTGGGATCGTGGAAACATTTCTCAGGCATAAAGAGATCTGGAGTGGGGGGTGGGGGGCGGGGAATAAGAAGCCCTGGCTTAGAGTAGCTTCCTTGCGAGCATAAGGCTCAGGTTTGGTGGGTTCTCAGTAACCCCTGCGTGACCCCCACAACGCTGCCATCTGTGATTGCCCTCCCCACGGCAGCTGGGTAAGTGTGCCAGCATCGCTGAGGACATTCAAAAAGCATCGCGACACAAACGAGTGTGTGCAGCCAAGGAAGGAATGGCACAACTAACGCAGTGGGACCCCAGCGAGGGACCAGGCGAGTGTGTGTGACACCCCTGTCCTCACAGCAGTGAAAGAAGTTGGGGGTGGGGCAGTGACCATGTAGGTGACCAAGCAGAGTTCCAGGGATCTGGAGAGCAGGGGGGGAAGAGAGAAATGGTGGTTGAAGAAAGATGGGGTCTCCCAGGAGAGCCTGGCTGGGGACCCACCTTTGAGGTAGGATCTGGCAGCTGGCCAGTTGACGGTGGACTTCCCCAGAGACCCTGCAGGGTTCCGGCCCAGGCTCTAAAGGGCCCGGAAGCTCCTCAGGCTCACTCACTCACTCTCACTCACTCTCCTGGAGCCAGTGGGAGACAAGACACACATTAAGAGTTGGGCACCAGCCAGCCTGGGGCATGCTGCCATCCAACTCTGTTGAGTGCCCCCCTCCCCCCGCCCACACACACAGTGCTGCCTTCCCCAGGGAGGCCCCTGCCAGGCTGCTAGCTGCCCTGTGGTGGAGCTGGATGGACAAAGCCCTGACAACCCCAGAGCCAGCTGCCAGTTTCACAGATGGCAAGACCAAAACCCAGGAGAAGGGACCCCCCCTTCCCTCAATAGCCCCTCACTGGCCCGAATCGTCTGCATGTCCCGGAGAAGTAGGGCAGCCCGCCTCTCCCTTCTCTCCCGGCTCACCTCTCCCCACACGCTCCATCCCCCCATTCACTGGCTGCCTGTGTGTGTCTGACAATCTGGACAGAAGATGGGGCTGGGGGCGGGGATGGGTGGGAGTGGGGGACTTGGAGAAGAAGAGCCACTCCCGGGAAGGAAGGGATGCGTCGGTGCTGGCTGGCACTCAGCGTCTATTGCCCACGTGTTTGGAACTAGGCGGGAGCCTCTCGGGGTCATTTTAAGCCGTCTCCACTCTAGAATGATACCAAAAAAGGTATGAGATGCTCACGGGCCCAGACAGACGCTGCCCTGACCGCTGCCCCTGTATGTATGAATCCGCCCCTGAAAGCACGCAGAGCTGGAGCAGCGTCAGGCCCCAAAGCCAGAGCAGCCGAGCCCAGTGTTTCCCTGCAGACTATTCTTACCCTTCCCAAGCGCCTGAGCCCCTCAGCTGTCTTGGTGAGGGAAGGTATTTTTAAGTTCTAGGACAGCTGATTTAGGATTTGCTTGCAGGGGTGAAAAGGGCCAGGGGAAGATTGAATTGCAAGGGGGTCAGGGGGGGCAGGTAGCAGCATTCAGGGCTCAGGAGCCAGCGAGGGCTTTGGAACCGTCCATGATGCCTTTTTGAGTTTCTGGGATATTTCTTGTGGGGAGTCTGGTGCTGAACAGCTGAGCGACATCTCTGCGCCACCCCCATCCCTACCACCTTTTTCTGTTGTGTTGTGTTTTATTTTGTTTGGGGGGAGAGGATTGGGCCATACCCAGTGGTGCTCAGGGCTTACTCCTGACTCTGTGCTCAGGGATTATTCCCGGGGAATATTCAGGGGACCACGTGTAGTTCTGGGAATCAAGCTTGGGTCAGCCTTGGGCCAGGCAAGCCCCTTCTCCACCCTATGATCTCTCCAGTCCTGTACATGACCTTTTCGAAACAGCAAAATGACGTGATGGAAGGCTGAGGTTCTCAAAGTGGGGTCCCCAGAGCAGCAGCCTCGGCGACATCATGAGTCTCTGCTTCAGCAAGATGGAAAACGCCCCATCTCAAAATTGCCTGCCATGGAGGCAGGAGGAGGGCTGGAAAGGGGGGATATACTGGGAACATTGGTGGTGGAGAATGTGCTCTGGTGGAGGGATGGGTGTTCGATCATTGTGTGACTGTAACCCAAACATGAAAGCTTTGTTACTGTATCTCACAGTCATTCAATTTAAAAAAAAAAATAGAAAGAAGGAAAATGCCCCACTTCAGGCCCACCCAGAACTGAGGGGATCAGACTCAGGTGTGGCCTCCACCTGGGTTCTCCTGCCCCCACTGGGCCAGCCTGGCCCAGTACAGCATGAACCATATGGTGATGAGGGATTCATCTCCCCATACTCCCTTTATGGCTACTGCCACAGGAAAGAATCACCTTTGACGTTCTCACCTCTAGAGTGTTTCTCCAAGGGCCAAAAAAAAAAAAGAGTTCCAGGACACTCTTTTCATTCATTCATTCATCATCCTGTTATTCGTCGATTGCCTCGAGCAGGCCCCAGTAATGTCTCCTTCATCCTAGCCCTGAGAGTATATTCAAGGCTCTTTAGGAGAATGAGACCCATCATTGTTACTGGTATTTGGCATATTTGGTACGCCACGGGGAGTTTGCCAGACTCTGCCCTGTGGGCAGGCTACATTCGATAGCCTGCAAGTTTGTCCAAAGTAGGAATGAGATAATAACACTCTGCCCATTAGAAAACCTGCACTTTCCTGCGCTTCTTCTTCTTTTTCTTTTTTTGCTTTTTTTGCTTTTTGGGGTCACACCCAGCGATGCACGGGGGTTACTCCTGACTCTGCACTCAGAAATTGCTCCTGATGGTGCTCAGGGGACCATATGGGATGCTGGGAATCGAACCCAGGCCAGCCATGTGCAAGGCAAATTGCTGCTGTACTATCGCTCCAGCCCCGACCCTGTGCCCCTTGTTGGCCTCTAGATCTGACCTGCAAACAACCTCAGAACTGAGCTGCTAGAATGAAGTTCGGATCCTGCTCCGCAATATCCTCCAGGCCACCAGGGGTAGGGGTATGGGTGGGAAGGAGAGATGGGAAGGTGGCGGGGTGTAGAGACAGGGCATGCAGTCAGGGGTCAGGGCTTGTGTAGAGACCGGTGCCGGCCGTCCTTGGCAGCAACGGTTGATGTCAGTGGGGAGACGGAGCTCTCCTTCACTCCGTCCAAGTTTACACCAAGCTCCCTCACACGGCCAAAACAGGGCTTACAAGCACAGACAAAAGAAAGCTCAGGACTCTGTCCTCCCCGGCAGAAATGAAAGCAGCATAGCTCATGTTTTAATGGCCCGTCTCCGTGTGGGAGAACTCAGGTGTTGGACAGCCCTCCATGGCACTGATCTCAAATCTACCCCCCGCCCCTCCCCCCCCCCGAACACGCGCTGCCCAAGCTGCTGCCCGAGCCGCTGTGGGGAGCACAGCTGAGGGTCTCTCCTTGTGCCCAGCCCTGGCCTCAGAAGATACAGGTGCAGCCCACGGCGATGGTCTCCATGACGGCGCGCTGGCGGCAGGGCCCCGAGCGGGGAGGCAGCGGGCAGAGGCGCCGGCGCACGGGCACCTGGCTGAACACGGGCACGCTCACCATGCTGCGGTCCTCCTGCATGGTGAAGGGGTTCACGCAGCCCAGACACAGGCACCGCGCCTCCGGCAGGTCGGCGGGGATCCGGCTGGGGTCATGGTTGATGCTGCACCGAGGCAGGAGAGAGCACAGGGCAGAAGTGAAGGGATGGAGAGAGGGATGGAGAGAGGGCAAGCGGAGGCCCAGAGCGATAGCACAGCAGGAAGGGCGTTTGCCTTGCCGGGTTTGATCCCTGGCCTCCCATATGGTCCCTCGAGCACTGACAGGAGTAATTCCTGAGTGCAGAGCCAGAAGTAACCCCTGAACATAGCCAGGTGTGACCCCCCCCACACACCAAAAAAAAGGAAAAAAAAGAGGAAAAAAAAGAGAGAGGGCAAGTGGAGGGTGCCCGTACCCTGTGGGAGGGGCGGGGGCAGCCTGCAGTGCTCGGTGCCCTGTGGATGTTGGGCAGATGCTTTGAGGTCCCTCTGCAACCCCTGTCTCTCTGACCCAGGTTTCTCTTCCACACTGAGTCTGTGGTGTGGAGGGTAGATATCCGGGAACGTTCCTGCCGAGAAAACTGGAGGGCTTGAAAAGCAGGTTTCTCTCTCTGTCCCCCATGACTCTACATGTTCAAAGTCACCCAGTTTGCTTCTCTTGTCCAGTAAGATGCCCACCCTGGGTCCAGCTGCTCTGTGAGGTCCCGGGGAAGGCCGAGAACCCCTCCAGCCCCTCCAGTCTGGAAATCATCATCCTGGAGATGACCTCATTGCACATCAATGCACAGAGCTGCCCGGGGCCTGCAGAGTTCACCTGACTTTGTTCCTACCCTTTCACCAAATAGTTTCACAGCCCTCCCCGGGGACAAGGCTGGCAGCTCAGATGGGCCCTCAGGAGTGTGGGGTCCAGGTCTGCTCTGAGCCTCAGTCTCCTTATCTGCTCAGTGGGGAGCATGGCCATGTCATTCTCAGCAGGGGGGGGGGGGGGTGTGTGAAACAGTGTCTCTTCCAGGTTTCTCCCGCTGCCCACGCCCCCTGACCAGAGCCTGTAGTTGTATAAGATGCCCCTGGAGAATCAAAGGATATAATGGGACTTAAAGCCAGATTATTATTTTATTTTGGGCTTTTTTGAGTCACCCCCAGTGATGCTCAGGGGTTACCCAGGGCTCTGCACTCAGGAATGACTCTGAGGTGCTTGGAAGATCATATGGGATGCTAGGGATCAAAACTGGGTTGGCCACATGCAAGACAAATGCCCTCCTCATTGTGCTATTGCTCCGACCCCATAAACCCAGCTTCGAGACTCTTAGCACATATTTCCATAAGCCACGTCCCAGACATGGCCCAGATAGACTCTTCACATTTTAAATTGATCAGACGGTCGCAGCTCATGGCTTGGTGGCCACGTGAGTGAGCACTGCTATGCTGGGTCTGACGCCAGCTCTGAAAATTTTCTCGAATGTGGCCAGAATTCATGGTGTGGGTTTGTGAGCTAGAACCCTCCCCAATCCATTTATGTCTTTGTGTTTGTCCAGCTCATCCCTATGTGGTAGGAAGAGGTGTCATGAGTGGGCAGGGGATGCAGACCTGGCCGTGCTCCCGACCACGTGGGGGTGGATACAGTGCACCCCTCTGCACCCCTGAGATAATATTGATTGGTTCGGGTGGGTATCCTTAGATGATATCGCACAAGGAAGCCATTGGGAAGGGCCAGCCTGGCAGGAGGTGTGTGTGTGTGTGTGTGTGTGTGTGTGTGTGTGTGGTGTAAGGGGGGCGGGGGCGGGGGTGTTAGCCGCTCTTGCCCTGGAAGTGCTAGAACAAAGGTACCTTCCGGGCACCGAGGACAGGACGGGGGAGGGGGGGGGGAGTGCTGTGGTTATGAGTCCATTACTAGAGACAGGAGGAACAAAAACCTCAGAGCCTGCATTGAGAGCTCATTGACTAAGGAGTCCACCAAGGATTCACTGCTGTCACAACTGTTTATAGCTGAGGCCATGGAGGCTCAGAGAGGGTAAGCAACTTGCTAAAGTCACACAGCCAGTAGGAAGCCAGTCCCAGATGCAATCCCTGAAATCCCAGTTCTGAGCTGTGAGAATGACCAGATGGGTGGGCCAGCTGGCAGCTCAGCCTGCCTGTGCTGCCCTGAGGACCTACCTGTAGCCCCAGGGCGAGAGGCTCCTCCGGTTGGACAGCCATAGCTGCAGGTCCACCTCACACTTCCTCCTGGCCGGCTCGGAGCTGTTCCTCAGCTGGGCCACCATCTGCCCAAGGTTCCTCTCATACTCGTCCATGCGGGCGTAGGGCTTGGCCCGGGACACCAGGTCCAGCGGCACCTGCGGGGGCCCGGGGGCCAGGGGGCCGAGCCGGCCCTTCTTCTTGCCTCTCGGGCTCCTGGGCTGGCTGAGCCCCAGAAAGATGGACACGGTGAGCAGGAGCAGCTGTGGGAGAGGCCACGGGTCAGGGGGAGAGCCAGACCTCCTGGAGGTGGGGGGGAGGGGGTGGGCGGGAGGAGGGGCTTCAACACTAGGGCCCAGGTAGGGGGAAGAGAGGGGGCTCCATCATGCCCTGGGCTGGTCCCCCAGGCACCACAGGGGTCAGCACAGTCCTGTCCCCCTGCCCCGCCCTGCTCTGCGTCAGGTCAGCTGCACTCAGCCTCTGCCCCTCCCACTGCTCCTCAGTGGACAGGCAATATCCACACAGCCTCCCCCGCCCCCTCTCACCCACACCTGCAGTCTGGCAGCCTTGGGGTTGGGTGGGGGAAGGGTAGCAGGGTTGGTTGAAGGCAGGTGAGGGCAGGGGGAGTCTGAGGTTTCCAGCAGGAGAGGATGAAGAGGAGGGCAGAGGCTGCCCGGAGGGGGTTGGGAGAGGCAAAGGAGGGAAGTATGGGGCCAGGTAGGTTGGGGACAAGACAGGTTTCTGGTGGACGCCTGGACTCCCACCTCTACTTGCCCCATCTCTTGTCCACCCCCATCCACCCACACCCTCCTTACACCTACCTCTGCCTCCGCCCTGTCCACGGGGGTGGCCCACGGCCAGCTGGGATGGCTGGCTGCGAGGGGCCTGCGCCCCCTCCCCGAGCCCATCTCCTACCTGCCCGACTTCCCTCACTCCTGGATTTTCCAGGTCCCACAGCCAGTCTACACCCCTGGGAGCAAGTTCCAGCCCAGCCCTCCCCGACACAGGCGTTTCCCCGGGCAAAAAGACACTCCACAGTAAGGCACTAAATTCCTCCTGCAGCCCCTGGAGTCTCGCAGGAGACCTTCACCCCCACAAGGGACCCTCTCCTCCGAGCTGCCTGCCCGGGCTGCCCCTCGGCAAACCCCGGGGAGAATCCTGCTCTCCGGAGAGGAGCTTGTGGGGCTAGCCCTGGGCCACACAGCCGGCCCCGGGGAGTCTTTGGAAAAACCCCGAGCCCGAGTGTGCCAGGGTCTCCCCAGATGCCTCCGTCCGGAAAGGGCCTTGGAGCGCAGGGCTGAGCCCAGAGCTCTGGCAGACACCCGGGGCTCTGTCTCCCCCGCATCTGGGGAAGAGGCAGGGGCAAGCTCACGCCTGCAGGTTCCAAATCAAACAGAGGCGGCCGTTAATCATAGGGAAGAGACCTTAGCACCCCGGGGCCCTGAAAGGAGGAGGGAGGGGGTGGGGAGGTGCCACGTACCAGGCTGAGTGGCCAGTCCATCCCGAGAGACCAGGAGGCCGGCCGGCAGCTGCCGCCCGCCGCGAGAGAATGGCAGTGACAGGATGGAGCGAAGCAATTATAGCTCGTGGGGGGCTCCTGGGGGAGTGGGTGGGTGGGCTCGTCATCAGCCGGGGGCCTCGGGCCTGCTGCAGAGGGGGCCCGGCCAGGAGTCAGCCCAGGTGCCCAGGGGCTGTTGACCGAGGGACAATGCCCTGTGTGTCTGGAGGGGCTCTGGCGGGTGGCACCTCCGCCTGTGGCCTGCGGCCGGCCGCCCGGCCAGCACCCACAAGGCCAGCTGAAACGATCAGCTTCGTTTGCTTTGGGATGGCAAGGGGGCGAGGGTGGAGGGCCCAGGCTGGCCGTCGGTCTGGACAGCAAATGTTCCCGGTTGGCCTGGAGAGGGGAGTCTCGGGGCCCAGGCCCCGGGAAGCAGCCTCAGGCACCCCAGGGCACTCTCCAGAGGCTGGGCCGGGAGGCTGAGGCCAGGGCGAGGGCAGGACTGGCCCAGGGCGGCTCCGAGGGTGTGTGAAGGGTAGGCAGGGCACGTAGCAGGGCGTGTGAGCTGTATTCTGCACAGTGCAGTCTGCTCTGAACAGGACCAGCCCAGGTGCTCTTAAAGGCCAATCCCGGGACCCACGAGGACCTGGGGGCGGCCGGGCTGGCCTCAAACAGGCAGCCCCTCCCCCCAGCCCCCACCCCAACTCCAGGAACTGTGGCACTGGGAACTTGCATGCTTTCTCAGCCTCAGTTTCCCCTCAATGCACCATGGGAGGGGCATGCTGAAAGAGAAGTGACTCAGTCAGCTTCCCTCTAAAATCTCTTGGCACCTCAGGCCCCACCTCTGAAAGGGACTCTCAGAGCACCCCACCCCCAACCCCAGAGCAGAAGACAGAGGCTTGTTAAAGAGCTGACCCTGCTCTGGCCTGCAGTAAATGCTCAATAAAACCCAAGACTTTTTCACTCTGAAAACTCATCCTACAATAAAGAAAACCCACATCACACGGGTGACCTGGAGGATGAGCGGGGTCCCCCTCTCGACCCCCTGTGGCCTTCCGTTCTGCTTTCACATGCTCAGGCCACACTCTGTGAGGGCAGATGACCCCCAGGTCCTGGCATCACATGCTGCAGGCGAGGGAGAGCGTGAGTCTTTCAGGAGGGCCGAGAGTCCAGGCAAAACCCAGGGCCAGCCCTGGGAGGTGACCTCTCCCCAAGGGCCACTCTTGGCCATTTACAGGAATCCCGGGAGGAGAAGAATGCAGGCGCAGGGCCCCCTTGAATGTCCCGGGATGGATCTGTCCAGGGCAGGTTTCCACCGCATAACTGAGGAGCGGCTCACGGAGAGAGAGCACCATATTTGGTCAAATGCGAGCAGGGACCCGTTCAACGGTGGAAACTCCCGCGGAGGGGGCTCTGAAAATACCTCCCTGGGCACCGAGGGCCTCGCCCCGCCACCACTGTCCTTAGAAAGGGGAAGAGCCCATACGTGGGGGTGCAGGACGGGGCAGCCCGTGCCTCTCTGTGGCAGCTGCCTGGTCGGCAGACAGCAGCTGAGTGACCCTCCCTGGCCTCTCGGGCAGGTGGGGACTGGGCTGCCTTCAAACCGCCACACTCCACCAGGAGACCCCCCATGTCCCAGTCCTGTCTTGGGAGACCCCCGTGCTTCCGTCTCGGGAGTGCCTCACTTCCTGAGTCCTGGCTCGAGTCTTCCCTCCACAAGGGCCAGTGTAGGAGCCAGGGGTCACTTCCCTCCAGGCTTCTTCCTGAGCAGAGACGGTGGACCTTGCCCAAGCTTACCCTGCATGGTGGGCACAGGTGGGCCAGGCAGACCCCGGCCTCCTGACACCTGCCGCTCTGGCCCACAGGGACGCATTGGGCGCTGGGCCTCCTTGCTGGTCTGGAGGAGTCCCAGAGCAGGTGGGCAGTCATTCCTGAGACGTGAGGGAGACAGAGCCCCCAGAGTGGAGGGGACACGGTGGGGGGCCCACACAAGTGCCATGAGAAGTCGGGAAGGGCCCCAATGACCATCCACAGCACGCCAGGGGGAAGGAGGCCCTTTTGCTACCTCTTTTCTCCAACCCATGTTAGGGTCTTCTGGACACAGGGATGTTCTGGTGTGGACACTGGCTGACATCTGTGGAACCCAGCCCCACAGGAAGGCCTGGGAAGGAGGGCTCCAGGGGCTTCTCCGAGGGCAGAAGGCAGCAGGGGGGCTACCATGGGGGCTGAGCTCTTTGGGCAATGGGTCCCCCTGAAGAAAGGCCAGCCTAGGGCCGACTAGGGCGGTCGGCTGAACTCCAGCAGCCCTCACTGGCCACCAGGTGGCGCCACCAGAAAGCCAACCACCCTGAAGCACGCTGCAGCCCCCCCACCCCCCTCCACGCCTTTCTCTCGCTGCTGTGGGCCAGAAAGGGGGTCACAGGTCCTGTGGCCACCCCGCGCCCAGAGCACCCCCTTCTGTGATACAGACCAGCACAGGGGGCCCCACTTGCACAGGAGAGACGGAGGGATGCCGAGCGGGGTGCTGTGCGCCCTCACCACACCTGTGTGGGAGGCCCTGGGCCCCTACACCCCAACAGTTTCAGAAAATAGCTAATAATAATAGCATCTTGCCACCTGCTTAATAATAATAGCAGCTCGACACCAGCGACGGGTGGGTGGAGTCGTTCATGTGCATTGTTTCAGCAAATCCCCCACCATCGGGGGGGGGGGCCTGATTTTATTTTATTTATTTATTTTTAATTGAATCACTGTGAGATACAGTTACAAAGCTTTCATGGTTGAGTTTCAGTCATACAATGTTCCAACATCCATCCCTTCACTGGTGCACATTTCCCACCACCAATGTCCCATTTCCCTCATGCCACCCCACCCCCACCCCACCCCTAGCCTATACTTATCTCTCTCTGTCTCTCTGTCTCCATATAAATATATATATATATATATACACATACATACATACATACATACACACATACACACACACGCGTGCATGCACACATTTATCCCTCCCTCTTCTCCCTTTTGGGCATGATGGTTTGCAATACAGATACTGAAAGGCCTTCAATGTTTGGTCCTTCACCCATCTTCAGCATACATCTCCCATCCAGAGCAATCCCTTCCAACTGTCCTCCCGTTGTTCATCGATTTGCTCGAGCCGGCCCAGTAACATCACCATTGTGAGACTTATTGTTACTGTGTTTGGCATATCAAATACATCACGGGTAGCTTGCCAGCTTTGCCGTGCTGGTGAGATACTCTTGGTAGCTTGCCAGGCTCTCTGAGAGGGGTGGAGGAATCGAACCCGGGTCAACTGGTCAACCTCATGCAAGGCAAACGCTCTACCACTGTGCTATTTCTCCAGCCCATCATTGTCATAATAATGGTCCCTTCTCCATCCCCACTGCCTCCTCCCCAGCCCTTGAGGCAGGTTTCCAACCGTGGAACAAGCCTCCTGACCCTTGTTTCTAACTGCCCTTGGATGTTAGTCTCCCAAGAGGTTCTGAGTTTATCCCCAGTCTACGGATGGGGCAACAGGCTCACACAGCTTCATTACCTGCCCCTCATCAAGCATCAGTGTGCCTGTGAGTCCCGGCAGGGGGACAGGGCGACTCATCTGCTCATAGGGACTGTCACAGGGCCCAGCCTCACCCCACTGGTGAAACAATTCCTGCCTGTGGCCCAAATCGCAGCCTGGATAGGTGGGGAGGAGGTCGGTCTGCAAGCTTCTGACCCACAGGGGGGTATACCTGTCCTGGGGGGGGGTGAATGTGGGGGCGTTGAGGGTACTGGACTTGGGAGGTCAGGGCAGCGGCACCCTAAGAAGGGTGCCACCAGAGTGTGTGGGCCTGAACCACGGGGAGACCTCAGTCAGGGCTCTGAGCCCCAAGGAAAGTGCCTTGACTCTCCTGAGCCCTTCTCTTCCCCCGACCCGGGAGGATCCTAAGAAGCCTCAACGGTCCTTTTGAAGGTCAAACGAGGCCTGGCCGGTGCTTGGCATCAAGGCTGGGAAAGGCTGTGTTCACTGATGGAGCCACAGCATGGCTGTCGCAGTGACAGCCCTCTGCAGGTGGCCAGCGTGTCCCCTAGCAGAAAGGCTGTGGGCAAAGCAGAGGTGAGGACAGAACCAGCAGAAGTGAAGACCCATGTCCCCTGTGGCCCAGCCTCAACCGGTGGGGTCAGGGGCACCCAGGATGGTGATCAAGACCTGCCTCCGTGGTGGGAGGCAGGAGACAGACAGACAGACAGACAGACAGACAGTCAGCCCCGCCGCTGGGCAGCTCCCTCCACAGCAGGTCTTGGCTCTCCTGCTTCCTGCCGGCGCGGCACCCCCACCTCGGGCAGGATCCCTCTCCCAGGCCCATATTTGCACAAATGCCTGCCTTGCTGCTCGCTCCAGAACCCCAGCCAAGAGGCACTATTTTAAGCTCCCTGGACGGGAACACTGTTGGTGGGAACAAGACCGAGCCAGCAAAGCTCCAGTCTCAAAAAAGGGAAAGACCCGAGTGAGTGGGCGGCCCCTGGGATGCACGGAGGGGCAGCGCGTCCCCATGACCCCCCACCTGGGCTGCAGGCCAGCGCCTGCTCCCCCACTGGCCACACAGGGGGCTGGGGCTGCGGGCATGGGGGCTTCTGCCATAGCCTTGGAGCACCAGCTCTGTACCCTTCCCGGGCAGTGCCCGCCACCCCCAGGGCTCAGGGCACCGTCTGCCAGGCCCCTGCAGGGTGGAGGGCCCTTCGGACGCCACCTGGTACCGCACCTCCCCCGAGAGGGAGCTCATTTCTCGGAGGACGCTTGGTCCGCACTTGTCAGCTGTCGCTGAGGAGGGTAGATGCGGTTTTTCACCTCTCTCCTTCATTCAGGCTGAGAGTGTGAGAGGCTGCGGCAGGAGTTTCAGAAGGGACCCCTGGTCACGTGACCATGTCCACTTTCCCTGCCCTCCACAAGCCTGTTTTCCCAGGGAGTTGTTCAAGTGGGTTTATCATAGGTATTGGCAGTTACC